AAAAGAAATTTGGTGATGAAAGTTTTTATTTAGTTTGGGGGGGAGAGAGTATGGAGGAGGTGAATGTATTCTGTTTTTTGGGGGGGGGGACGGTCAGCGAATGGGGCTATGAAAGTTTAGGGGTTTCCCTTGGAAATTTAAAGAGGGGAAAAAAAGTGAGTGGTGACTTTGGAATTTGTGGAGGGCAAAGAACTTTGTCCTTGGAGGGAAAGAGGGGATTTTTAGGGGAGTTTAGGGTTTTAAAAACGGCTTTTTTGGGTGTGGAAACATGGGTGATGAATTTTTTGCAGCGAGGAGAAGGCTGGAGGCAGGTGGAGTGTCATGTCTGGAGCAAAAGTGGGGGTGTGAATAAATTGCAGGAATTCGTTGTTTTGGGAAATTAGGAGGAGGGGCGGGATTCCAAAATGTTGGGCCAGAGGGCTGAGGGGGGGTTGTGAGGGTGGTTCGGGGTTTTAGAGAGAATGGGCGAAAAAAAGGGAAAGACTTTTAAGAGTGTATCAGTCTGTTTGTGGAAGGAAGGCGGGGGGGGGGTCGGCCCAGGAAAGGTTGGAGGGGGGGGGTAAAAAAAAAGGGGGTTTTTTGGGCGAGGGGCTTGGACTTCCAGCAGGCATGCCCTGAGCCCTGTTTGATAGGGTGAATGGAGACAAATGGTTTTTAATTCTTGGGGTGTGGATTTGGGGGGTGAGCAAAGTAACAAATTTTTTAAGGGGTTAGGGAAAACCGGCAGGGCCCGGCTTTAGTCCTGGGATGGGAAATTTTCAGTGCCTGCACCCCTTTAAGGGGGGTGTTATTGTTGAGTTTTTTAAAAATTTGTGTAAAGCACCCTTCGGGGGAAGCGGTTTGGGGTGAATGAGGGGGAAAAGTTTTTCTTTTTCGGGCCCCCCTGCCTTTGGTTTGGGGTTTGGCCGGTTTTTGATAATAAAAAAAAAAATATTATTATTTTCAATATAATTTTATTTTTATTTTTATTATTAAATTAATTTTTTATTTCCCGTTATTATTGTTATAAAATTTAAATTTAAAACAAAAAACTGTTGATGTTGGATAAAATAGTTTACTTTTCCGACACGTTGGGTAAATTTAAATCACGGTTTTAAAAACTTGTGGATTTTTTTTGTCTCGCCAGCTTTTTCAGTCCCCAAAAGCAAAGAAAAGGTGGAAGAAAGAAGATTGTGAGGTAATTAAAAAACCCCTTTAGTCCCTCTTTCCTTAAACGTTGGGAAGGGGAGTATTAATTTATGTATTACACCGATGCAAAATTGGGATTAATTGATGAACTTACCCCAAAGATGTTGATCATCAAATTTAAATTTTTTTTTTATTAATGGGTCTTTCTCCAATGGAAGGTTGGGGGTCCTTCCTGCCCCCAATATTTAGAAATTTACGTCTCTCCTTTTCCCCTGATGTTTGTGGTACTGATGGGCTTACAACGATGTAAGTGTTGTTTTATCTTCCTGCCCCGGTGTAAGGGCCCAAAGACCTTCCTTCCCCCGGTTTTAAAGGGGCCCAAAGACCTTCCTTCATTCCCATGTTTTTTTAAAAACCAAACGACCTTTCCCGCACACGATGTAGGGGGAAAAACGACCTTCCTTCACACGGTTTTAAGGGCAACAACGACCCTTTCCCTCACACGATATAAGGGCCCCCCGCGACTTCCACTATGTAAGGGCCACAAAGACCTTCCTGCACACGATGTAAAAGGGACACAAGGGGCATTCCTGCCAAAAAATGTAAGGGCCACAACGACCTTCCCCTTTTCCCCGTTTTAAGGGCCCAACGGGCCCTTCCCGCAAAACGATGTAAGGGCCACAACGGGCATTCCCGAACGTTTTAAGGGGGCCCCAACGGCCTTCCCTTTACACGATGTAAGGGGCCCCAACGACCCTTTCCCGCACACGTTTAAGGGCCCACGCCCTTTTTGAAAACGTGTAAGGGCCAAAAACGGGCCTTCTTACACACGATGTAAGGGCCCCCAACGCCTTTCCCAAACACGTTAAGATAAAAATAAGTAAGTTTTTGTTTTTTGGATTTTTAAACCCCGGGGGGTTAGCCACCCCGGTTAAACCCCAAAAAAGTCAGGGCGTCTCGAGGACTGGTTTAATTTTTTCCCTTTGGGGGCCTTAATCTTGTCCCCGGATGCGACCCACCCAGTCGCTAACACCCGGTACCTATTTGCGCTAGGTGAAAAAGGAAAAAAGGTGTAAAGGGGAAAAGTGTTTGAAGTTGTGTCCTTCCTGCACACAATGTAAAAAATAAACCAAAAAAATTACAGCCTTTAAAAATGATACAAAATGTAAAAGGTAAATTTCAGTCTCAGGAGAGTGTTTTTGTGCCCCGCTGGCTGCCCCCGCCCCTGAATTTCTTTTTTACAAAAAAACCGGTGTCTGTGTTTCCGGAGCTGTAAATTAAAATTTTTCCCGCCTTTGACAGCTTTCCTTTAAAAACCCCCCCCCACCCGCAGTTCCCTTCAACAAACATTAGCGCCTGATTCACTCTGCTAAGGGAAAAAGGGTAAGTGTAGCGATTAAGAAGGCTCTGGGGTGAGAACTTTCAAACAGCGGCTGATCCAACCCCGGTTAAAGGGGACTTAAAATTTAAACACATTTTTCCCTCAAGTATTTTTTTCCCACCCCAAAAAAGAGAGATTCGGGGGGGGAAAATGTTTAAAAGATGGGGAGAAAACAAAATTTGGGGGCGCCTCGGGGGCAGAAACGAAAGAAAACAGGGTTCGATCCAGGGGTTAGAGGAAACATAGGGGAGGGGTTTCCACGAAATACAAAGAAAAACACCCAAATTTGTGTCCGGGGCCCCACATGTTCAATTGCCCACCAGCTTTCATTAAGGGGGGGGTTGTTCGTACGTCGCTTGGGTGTGGCCCGCAGTAACGCTGGTTGATCAGACGCTGTTTTCCCCCCTGAAGCCCGGTTTCCCGACCGGGGGGGCGGGGGCGGGTTTACCCCCGAAACCCACTTTCCCGGTAAACTCCCGGATGCTTTTCCCTTTAAATTGGTCAATTTAGAGAAATTTCCCACAGGAGGGGTGTTTTTTAATATTTTTTCTCCCCCTATTTATATATTATAAAATATTTTTATTTTTAATTTTTTATATTTATATTATTTTATATAAATGCAAGTTTAAACTCTAACTGTACAAGAGTTTCGATAAAATTTTGTTTTTTCTTGGTGCAAAAAAAAAAACATGGGTCCTTTTTCTTTTTGTTGGAGCAAATTTTAAAAACAAAAGGAAAATTTAAACCCCATAAATCACCCCCTTTCCCCCCCTCCATAAACGCCTCCCTTTCCCCCCCCTCCATACCACCCCCTCCAAATTTCCCCCCCATACCCCCCCCCATTACCCCCCCATTATAACCCCCCAAACCGCCCCCTCCTTTCCACCCCTCATTAACCCCTCCATTCCCCCCCCATATAACCCCCCCATTCCGCCCCCCATTCCACCCCCCATATAACCCCCCCACCCCCCTCCAAAATCACCCCCCCATTCCCCCTCCATTTTAACCCCTCCTTAACCCCCCCTCCCCCATACCCCCTCCTTACCCCCCCTCCATTTAAACCCCCCCATACCCCCCTCCCTATCAACCCCCCCTCCACCCCTAAAAATTTTAACCCCCCCTTTCCGCCCCCCCAAAACCACCCCCCAATTTCCCCCCTCCATACCACCCCAAACCCAAACCCCAATGCCCCCATTACCCCTCCACACCACCCCTTTTAGCAAACCCCCCCACACAACCCCCCCATACCACCCCCTAACAACCCTCCATACCAAACCCCCTTTCCCAACCCCCCCTACCACCCCATACACCCCCTCCATACCACCCTCCATTCTAACCCCTTTCCCTAAAACCCCCCCCCTTTCCCCCCTCCCTACACCCCCCCTTTCCCCCCCATTTTCACCCCCCTTTCCACCCCCCCATACCACCCCCCCATACCCCCCTTCCCCCCACCAACCCTCCTACCACCCCTTTCCCCAAAATCCCTCCATACCACCCCCTTTCCCTCCACCCCCCCCAAAACCAACCCCCCCCATAACCAAAACCCCCCCCACACCCCCCCTCCATACCAAACCCCCTTTACCCCCCCTCCTTACCCCCCTTCACACCACTCCCCCCACCACCCCCTCCAAAAACCTCCCCCCCCAACCACCCCCCCATACAAAACCCCGGGCGTGGGTTTTACATCTTTTTAAAAACAAAAATTTTATTTCCAGAGAGACACATTTGTGGGGAACATTATATAAAATTTTAATGATAGTGTTTTTTGAAGGGCTTACACGTGGGAAAACCCGAGTTCTAAACCAAAATAAATTTAATTTTTTTTTCCCAAAACAAGTGCTGGGTTGCCCAAGGTTTTTTCCTACCCGGCCCCCCACCCCCACAGGTAGTACCCAAAAACCATGCGGGGAAAAAAACAAGGGAATTAAAACCCCGGGCCCTAGGAGGAGAGGGGCCGACCAAGTTTCGGTCCGACTTGGACCCTTTAATTTAAATACACAATGTTTTTACTTAAGTATTACTTACAAAAAACTTTTTTTTTACAGTGGTCTTTATGCTTTGGAAAAGGTGTTCCCGGGGTAATGTTCCACGTTATGCAATAAAATCACAAGAACAGGTGACTCTTTTAAAATGCGATATAAACAAAGGGAAAAGCGCATGCAATTTTTACAATTTTTTAAATGTGGTTATATTGCATTATAAAAGTGCCCTTTCACATATTAACCCGGGGTAACCCAGTTAATTAAATCTTTAGGTTAAAGGGAAATAAGGGACAATTAACATACCTAGATAACCCCACAAAAAAAAAGGGGCGGGGAAAAATAAATTTTGTCTCTGTATTTCAGAAAACCCCCCCTCCCCCTTCCCCTTAAAGAAGGGTGTGACTGTTTTGGTGTCGTTGTTCCTAAGAGATGGACCCCTCCCTAAAGATATGGGTCTCTCCCTTAAGGGATGGGTTCATCCCTGATGAGATGGGTCCCTCCCTGAAGAGATGGGTTCCTCCCTGAAGAGTTGGGTAACTCCCTGAAGAGATGGGCTCCTTCCTGAAGACAGGCCCCCCCCTGAAGAAATGGGTTCTTCTCTGAAGAGATTGGTCCCTCCCTGAAGAGATGAGTTCATTCCTGAAGAGGTGGGTCCCTCCCTGAAGAGATGGGTCCCTTCCTGAAGAGATGGGTCCCTTCCTGAAGAGATGAGTTCATTCCTGAAGAGATGGGTCCCTCCCTGAAGAGATGGGCCCCTCCCTGAAGAGATGGGTCCCTCCCTGAAGAGATGGGTCCCTCCCTGAAGAGATGGGTCCCTCCCAGAAGAGATGGGTCCCTCCCTGAAGAGATGGGCCCCTCACTGAAGAGATGGGTCCCACACTAAAGAGATGGATTTCCCCCTGAAGAGATGGGTCTCTCCCTGATAAGATGGGTTCCTCTCTCAAGGGATAGGTCCCTCCCTGAAAAGATGAGTCTCTCCCTGATGAGATGGGTCTCCCTAATGATATGGCTCTCTCTCTAATGATATGGCTCTCTCCCTAATGAGATGGGTCTCTCCCTAATGAGATGGGTCAATCCCTCAAGAAATGGGTATCTCCCAGAAGAGACAACCCCCTTCCTCAGGAAACTGGTTCTCCACTGAAAAGTTCAGTCTCTGGTGGCACACACACCTGTAAAGTGACTGACCTCTGCAGAGACTGGTCCTTGTTTCAAGAAATGGGTCCCACCCAAACAAACAGACAACTGTATTTCTATAAAGTGGATATTGTACAGTGTGCAATTAGGTTACTTGACATGTATAAACTACTTTCTAGAAAGCCCCTTGTTATGTAAGGCATTGCAGGCAGCCTTAAAACTCAGTTTATACTATTTTGAAGGTATTCAGTAATTCAGTAAAAAAAATCTAAGGATACATTAAGGATGAAGCTAGGTACCTGAATTGTTACAGTAAAATGCCTTTCTAGTAATAAATGAACTGAAGAGACTGGTCCCTTTCAGAAGAGTCCATTACTAAGATGCAGATTCATGGACAAATGTAAGGTCCTAATCATGGGGGAAAGGACCATGAACTAGAGTATTATAGAAGTTATCCAAATTGGATGTGAAAACTAAGAATTTTGGGTATTAGAAATTTGAAGCCAAACTAGAATGCTGTATGTCTTTATAGTAAAGCTCCCCTCAGGGAAGGTTCCTTGATGCTGGTGAGGGACTCTTGATCTAGGGAATTGGATCTATCCTTCAGTTCCCTGAATTGAGTCTGAATACCTTCCATCCCTCTCTCCACAGGCGTTGTATAATCCTATGGGTTTAGTGCTCCCCCATGATTATAGTAATTTATAATAAGGCTACTGTGATAGATTGCTTGGCTTCAGGGCTAATAGTTAAAGCAACAAGTCTCATGGTTATACTACAGATGCTGCCCTACAGGATCTCTCCATGGTACAATCTTATTTGGATTATGCAGTATAGTTCTGATGGATTGAAAAATAGCGAGTCTGTTACAGAGTGGGAATTGTCACAGTTGTCTTTGCTGATGACATTACTCTTGTGGGAGAGTCAGAAGAGAAGGTGCAAAGGTTGGTAAACGAATTTGGGAGGGTATGTACTAGAAGGAAATTAAAAGTAAACAGGGAAGAACAAGGTGATGAGTGTAAGAAAAGATAGGAAATGATATCTTAGATATTAGATTGGAGGGAGAGAGTAGGGAGGAAGTGAATGTGTTCAGATATTTGGGAGTGAACTTTTCGCCAGATGGCTCTGTGAGAAATGAGATGAATCATAAAATTGACGAAGGGAACTAGGTGGGTGGTACATTGTGGCATCTGTAGAGACAAAAAAAAACTTTATCCATGGAGGCAGAAAAGGAAGTGCACCAGAGTATAGTGGTACCAACACTGTTGTATGAGTATGAAACGAGTTTTGAATATTGCAGTGAGGAGGAGGTTGGAGGCAGTAGAGATGTCATGCTTGGGGGCAGTGTCTGGTGTGAACATTATGCAGAGAATTTGGAGTTTGGAGTTTTTAAAAGTATTATTCAGAGGGCTGGGGAGGGGTTGAAGTAGTTTGGACATTTAGAGAGGATGAAAATATATTAGATGACTAGGCCTTGGGGAATATATATCTTGGGTGGAGGGAAGGAGGTGTAGGGGTCATCCCAGGAAAGGCTGGAAGGAGGGGGTAAAGGAGGTTTTGAGTGCTAGGGCCTTTGACATCCTACAGGTTTGTGTGAGCATGTTGGACAGGAGTGAATGGAGGCAAGTGGTTTATATGATTTGACGTGCTGTTGTGCTGTGAGCAAGGTAAGATTTGTCAAGGTATTCAGGGAAATTGCTTAGTTAAACTTGAGTCCTGGAGGTGGGAAGTATGGTACATGCACCCTAAAGGAGGGGTGGAGATGTTGCAGTTTAAAGTCATCTGGACTGTTTCAGTTTGTAAAGTCATCTGGTCAAAGTACTCTTCAGAATTAGGGGTGCACTAAATACGTATGAGGAAAGAGAAGTGTACTTTACTGTATGTTAGCTTCAAACACATTTTAGTACTCCAACCTTTTAAATCTGAGGGGAAATTACCAACAGAACCCTAATTTTTCAAGAGAATTTCCAAGAAACCATTCTTGATCAGCCAAACTGGTACCTACATAAAATTGAAAGTTGCAAGTAACCAACAATCTGGCTGGGGTCCTCAGAATCATCACTTGGTAGATAATATACAAATATAGTGTGCTCTTTCTCTCACTCACTTTCCTATGTAGGCACTTCAAGGAAGGTTCCTTGATGCTGGTGAGGGGCTCTTGATCTGAGGAATTGGATTTGTGCTCCAGTTCCCTGAATTAAACTTGAATACCTTCCACATCCCCCCACAGGTGCTGTATAATCCTATGGGTTTAGGGCTTCCCCCTTGATTATAATATTAATTTCCTATGTAGGCTATTGCATTCTTAATCAAGTTTTGTTCGATTATGTCTTGTTAACTTTTCATTATTGGCTTATTTATTTCCCTATTTAAGACAGCATTGTATTTTTATTTACAGATAGAACAGCACACAAGGTCACAGCAAATTGACAAGGAAATACAGAAAGACAGACATAAGTTTCGACGGCAGGTGAGTTTTCGAAGGTTATTGCTCATTGAAGTTAATCCAGAATCTGGCTTATTATACAATATTTGCAAATCTCTGTTATTCAGGATGTGTAATTGTTATAGATTTTTTTTTTAGAGTTTGAGATTATGAAACTGTCCAGCAGTTATTGTCATATAGTTTTCTAACCTAAAGGAATTAACAGCTAGTCACGTCCTGGATGATCAAAATATATATGGTATGTATTTAAACCTATATATAGTGCTGTATCAGCAATAAGTATTTCAAAATTGTATGACTAAGTAGTACAGTATTTTTAAAGAAGTGCTTAATTTTTATCTCCTGGGCTTGCATCATCTGAATCACAGATTCTGTGCAAGTAATATAAGCTGGAGATATCAATTATTATTAATCATTTTATGTTTAAAAAACAAAATTTAGACTTGATGCATTAACTGACTGCTTGGCTCAATTTAGTTAGAAATGCTATAAAAGTAGTTAAGGCACATATTTATATTATGCATGAATGATGTGCTAATGCTGTTTTACATGTTTCATGCATTTTATCTGTGTAAATTGTCACTAATTCTCAGTAGTACATGAAACTGTAATATCTACTTGGCTGAAATTATATAACAGAATTTATTTACCAATATGAAACTGTTCACTGGTAGAGCAGTACTCTTCTGTATTCTGCAAAACTCTGTTATATAGCCAGGGCATAAAATAGTGTGTTGGTAACTTATCCTGGCTTACTCACTTGTTAACTCAGTCAGGTTGGTAGACAGAATCAGTTAACACATATTTGTGATGTGTAATTCTTCTTGTAAGGTTAAACTGCTATTGTTGGGGGCGGGGGAGTCTGGCAAGTCGACCTTCCTGAAGCAGATGCGCATCATCCATGGGTACCGATTTGCTCATGATGAAATCAACGAATATAGAGAAACTATTTACAAAAATATAGTCTTGGGTATGAAGGTAAGTAGCATTATACATATAATTCCAGTAGGCTTCCTTGTAAAGCTCCTCTATATAGTGCTGATTTTTGCAAATGTGATTGGAAAATGCATCAAAACAATGAATAGCACACAAAAAAAGGCTTTCATAGTACTTGCTATACAGTTTTAGATGTACTTTTTCAATTGCATTTGCAAAATAAATCACACTATATACAATAGCTTTATATCAGAGCTTACGTACATCAAATATTTGTGATTTACTGCATTGTGAGTTGTAGCTTTATACAAGTAATTACTAGGTGGTCATAAAGAATTTTAAGGAATGCACAGTTAAATCATACCAAAACTAATCCATAAAAAAATGTAACCATAATATAGATTTAATGATAAAAGCTGTTGGTGATCTTCTATAACATCTTGAAGTAAGTGACCAGATTGTGTGTTCACCAGGTCCTGTTGGATGCAAGAGATAAACTTCGGATACCCTGGGGAGATGAATCTCGAGAAGTGTATGGCCAGCATGTCATGACGTTTGTGGGAACCATGTGTCTAGATCGTCATTTGTTTTTAGAATACGTTCCAAGTGTAAAGGAGCTTTGGAAGGACTCAGGAATTAGGCAAGCATATAACAGACGAGCTGAGTATCAGTTGGTAAGTATGATGATGATCATGATGAGAATAATAATAGTAATAATAATAATACTAATAATAATAATAATAATAATAATAATAATAATAATAATAATAAGACATTTGAAAGCTAATTACAAACCTTTTTCTCTTTCCAGACTGACAGCGTTGCATATTTCTTCGATTCTTTAGAAAGAATAGGAGTTTTGGTAAGGGATGAATTAATTTACATATATAGCACTGCATATATGTATACTCGTAGTTGAACAGATTAGAATCTTTCCCTTGTGTGTTTCTGTGTTTGATCTTTTGATGAGCCATGCAGGACTAACATCTGTTGACAAATATCCTTACCAGTAAAGGAATCCTAAACATTTTTTTCTCAGTTACAGGGTCCTTCCACCTGTATTGCTCCTTTTGTTATGATGTCAGCCATTGTAGATCTTTTCATGATCCTGGACTGTCTGACAGATGCCATTCATTTAAAACTTTGCCTGAGCTAAGCATCCCATCTCTTGACTTCATTTATAGCTGGTAACATTACTGAGAATTTGTAGTTTACACATTGGGTGGTTTAACAAACTATGCTCCCTGTTATTTGTCTATGTATAAATAACAAAAAGGCACAATACCGTGACTGGAACGATACACAAATAACCCGCACATAAAAGAGAGAAGCTTACGACGACGTTTCGGTCCGACTTGGACCATTGACAAAGTCACAAAGTCCAAGTCGGACCGAAACGTCGTCGTAAGCTTCTCTCTTTTATGTGCGGGTTATTTGTGTATTTGTCTATGTATTTAGAATTCTTCTCCATGGGGAGGTGAACAGAATTCTTCTTCCGTAAGCCATGTGTGTCATAAGAGGCAACTAAAATGCCAGGAGCAAGGGGCTATTAACCCCTTCTCCTGTATATATTACTAAATTTGAAAGGAGACACTTGTTTTTTCTTTTTGAACCACCCTGCCCCGGTGGGATACGGCCGCTTTTGTTGAAAAAAGATGATGATTTAGAATTCTTCCAAATAGATGAGGAAAATAGACATAAAACTTAGACAAGCACATCACCCTTGTTAGAATGGCAGTTGGTCACTGTACAACTGCTGGGAAAAGTTTTGTGTGAGTTCAGTCTCTATGACATTTATTATATTGAGAGTGATGGTTCTCAGATCCCAGTTGTGTGTTCTGGTGATCATTCCATATTTTATTAGCTTCAGTTGATCATAAATGCTCCCACCTCTCCCTCCTCCTCCTCCTCTGTCTTCATCTTATTGGCCTCAAGCTCTCAAAGATTGTTTATCTTATTAAAAAAAATCTTCAAAAGACTGGATCCAGAGAATTGGAGCTACCCTCCACTTCTTCAGTTAAAGTTTTATGGATTCTTATTCCTCATTCCTCTTATGATGCTTAACCCCTATGGGTTTAGCACTTCCCCATAAATGTAATAGACCAAGCCTGAGCTAGTTATTGGGCAGTGTAGCAACTTATTTGCTAGTTTTAAGACCAGTTTCTTGTGCATAGCATTCTCAACCTTTTGCAGTAATAGCCAAGATAGAAGATAAGGGTTATTGGGATCCAAGAATACCATGGTTTATTTTTATCAAAATTATTTATGTTTTCTGTCAAAATATGAACAAATATGTATTCTGTAGATCTTGTTTATAAAATGAAACTTGAAAAACAAAACATGGGATAATTCAGAATTTTGATTATCCATGCAATGTAATAGTTTATTTCAAAATAAACTTATCTATATTGTCTATATTAATCACTCTATTCCTAATATCTGTTAAGGTATTGAACTCTCATCAGTTTCATATAGAGTTTTTGCTTTACATATACAGACATAAACCTTGAACAGACACATGTGTAGCCTTTCTTTCAACACACCGGCCGTATCCCACTGAGGCAGGGTGTCCCAAAAGGAAAAACAAAAGTTTCTTCTTTTACATTTAGTAATATATACAGGAGAAGGAGTTACTAGCCTCTTGCTTCCGGCATTTTAGTCGTCTCTTACGACACGCAAGGCTTATGGAGGAAGAATTCTGTTCCACTTCCCCATGGAGATAGGAAATAAACAAGAACAAGAACTAACAAGAAAATAGAAGAAAACCCAGAGGGGTGTGTATATATATGCTTGTACATGTATGTGTAGTGTGACCTAAGTGTAAGTAGAAGTAGCAAGGTGTACCTGAAATCTTGCATGTTTATGAGACAGAAAAAAGACACCAGCAATCCTACCATCATGTAAAACAATTACAGGCTTTCGTTTTACACTCACTTGGTAGGACAGAAGTACCTCCCTGGGTGGTTGCTGTCTACCAACCTACTACCTATAACATGTGTAGTCATCATATAATATTTTACAGTTGGTGAATCATAAATATTCAGTAGTAGCTGATAAATAGTGCATTCATCATACACCCACATTCTGTCACTGTATGATCTCCCTAATTGTATTACAACTCTTTATACTTATAATGTATTCTTATATATTACAATAAAAAATATGTATAACTTTAATAAAGTTCATTATACAGAGTTAAATTCTGTTCAGACATTGCAAAAAAATTTAATATTTTTGTCTATGATAGTCCCTCTTTAGTCCTAACATCTGTTCATGTATTGAACTATCATCAGTTTCACATGGAGTTTTTGATTAACATATACAGTACTGTATAAACCTTAAGCTGCCATGAGAACAAACTGACTGGTTTGTTAATTTTTAAACCAGTCTTATTATTCCCCCTCGTGAATGTACTGTTGTCTTTGTTTTCTCTCTTGTATTGTCAAACAGTTTTCATTTGTTAGTTTCTTGTCTTTGACAATGGATGTATGATACTGAATAAATGTGTTCTATTACAGGACTACATACCCACAGAAAAAGACATTCTTCACTGCCGTAAAGCAACTAAAGCAATCACAGAGTTCACTATTCCCATTCAAAATGTTCCATTTCTCTTTGTGGATGTAGGAGGCCAAAGAACACAAAGACAAAAATGGTTTCAGTGCTTTGAGAGCGTCACATCGATTATTTTTCTTGCTTCATCTTCAGAATTTGATCAGAGACTCTTGGAAGACAGGTACGGTTTCTTCTTGTATTTCGTTATCATTAGCGGGTAGGAGCTTGCTTATTAAAATCACATAAGCAGTTTTGACACCTTAGACAAACTGCTGATGTCTTTGCTCAGCAAACAGCTTATCCGAGGGAGCACAGCCCACTCATATAAGCTGTGAGTGGTAAATTTTGGCCTAGCTATGAGAGAATGGGTCTGTGCAGTGAGTGCACATAGTACATAAAAGAATCCTTCCCCATGTGGTGCATGATTTGAAAAGCAAAACTCTTACCTTGTGTTTGGTTTAAAAATAGCAATTTTGAGGTATTTTCTAGATGGTTTTTATGGTTTTATTAGCCGTTTCTTGATATTATGTAACAAAATGTAAGACATGCTTCTGAAATAGAGATGATTTTGGTTGATTTCAGGACTGGAGGTACATGAAATTGGGTTCAAAGTAGCAGAAATATTAAATTTTGATAATTTTCCTGAGGATGGGTAAGGCCTTCCTACACCCCTGGTGTGTTTTATGGGTTTTTAATAGGTTTGATTTAATTATTGAGATGTCATAAGCCATGATCAGTCATTCCTGGAATGTCTGCATTGTTTGTTTTGAACTTTATTTTTAACCCCTTCAGGGTCCAAGGCCCAAATCTGAAGTGGTGCCCCAGTGTCCAAGAATTTAAAAAAAAAAAATTTGTTATTTTTTCTTATGAAATGGTAGAGAATCTTTTTGTGAAGGTAATAAAACAAAAAGTACGAAATTTGATGGAAAATTGACGAAATTATGCTCTCGCGAATTTTGATATGTCAGTGATATTTACGAATCGGCGATTTTGCCGACTTTGACTCCCATTTTAGGCCAATACATTATTCCAGTTGACCAAATTCTTAGCTATTTCACTAGTATTACTTCTATTCTATCGATTGAGCACAAGAAATAGCCAAGTCAACTGTTTCAACTACAAATTAAAGTGATCGGAAATTGTTAATTTGGCCAATTTAACACAAAGTTCAAAATATTCCAATTTCAAAATAGGGTCCAGAATAAACAATGTAGGTATTCCTGGAACTAAACTAACATTTCCTCTGTTCATTAGTTACGTTTTGAGGCTTTACAAATAAATTCCATTTTGATTTTTTATTCACATAATGAATTTTTATTCACACCAAAAAATAGAAGATTTACTGTTATGCAATACTGTAATAATTGTATAAATATCATCACCATATTTGTGAATGCATATTAGACCCACCAGTATTAGACATGTGAGGTCGTTTGTTTACTCTTGAATATCGGCAAAAATTTAACATTTCTGCTACTTTGAGCTCAGTTTCAAGCCATTTCCAGTGCTAAAACCAATCAAAATCATCTCTATTTCTGTAATATGCCTTCCATTCTATCAAATGAGACCAAGAAATCGCAAATAGAGCTATAAAAAACATACGAAAAAACACTGCAAATTCGCTGTTTTAATCGAAAAATCATGATTTCAGTTTTTTTCTCTCATTATACACAGCGTGCTGCAGGATCTGTTTTATGTGGTGCACACATACCACATAGATGTATTCTCTCATATCTAGGCCCAAATGTACCACTCACAGTTTATCAGAGTGAGCTGAGCTCATGACGTAGATCTACGGTTTGGACCCTGAACGTAAAGCCGTAGATCTACGGGACGGACCCTCAAAGGGTTAAACTGGAATTTTTTTTAATTTTGCATAAAATTACCGACTTCTGTGCACTTTATAGGTGAATGGGCAGTCTCTTGAGTTTAGTTGAAAGAATGGAAGGCATACTAGCGAAACAGCTAAAAATTTGGTTGAATAGACCAATGGAATTGACTTAAAACAGGACTTAAAGTGGGCAGAATTGCCAATGTGTAAATTACACCCAGACTTCTAACTTTACACCTGCATGATTCCCTAAGTTTTCCATTAAATTTTGTACTATTGGTATCATGAGCTTCAGAAAAAATTATCTACCACTTAAGATTTTTTTTATTAATGTGGACACAGCAATAATTTTGGGGGGTCTGGACAGTGAAAGGGTTAAGGGAAAGTAAGTACCAGATATGGAAACTTTATGGACTTGTTAAAAAAGAAGTAAATAAATTCAAGAGCAACCTCCTCACTTAGCGACGTACTCATTTACTGATGACTCGGACATATGACAGGCTCTCAGACCAGTATGCATGCTTAAATAATGTATATTAGAGCTGATTTCCTCTATTTTGTGTATTACAATATACAATACACTATTGTATAAAAATTAAAAAATATACTAAAAATGTTATAAATGGTGCAAAAGTGACAGTAAAACAATATCAGATAGTTGACACAAACCCTCTACCATTATAGTATGCTCCTCGCTTAGCGATGAATTTGTTTACCGACATGGTCTTTGGAATGGAACTCACATTATTCTTTTCTCTCATTATGAATCACTCAGTTGGTTACCCCAACTGAGTGATTCATAGTGCAATGAAAGAGTAAACTTTTACTCAGATTTGCTGTACTGGTTCCTGGGGCTCACAATAGCCATTATTTTTTTTTAAAGACACTAGCCATCTCCCACCAAGACAGGGTGATCCAAAATAGAAAAACTTTCACCATCATTCACACTTTCACTGTTATGCCAGAGGCACGTGGATACAATCATTCAGATGTTTCTCCAAACAGCAAATATCTCTAACCCCTCCTTTAGAGTGCATGCACTGTACTTCCCACCCCAAGGACTCAAGTCCAGCTAACCAATTTTCCTGAATCCCTTAACAAAAATGTTACCTCGCCAATTATAAATATAATTTTATTTACTGTAAACTTTGACAAAAAGTTAAAATTTTCTTCATACCTATTCTGAAATTTTGGCTTTTAAGAAAAAATTCCCATTATTTTTTTGTTCCAACCAAAAAAAGTGTACATAATCAGGAGTATAATACTGAGAAGATTGTTTTATAGTTGTTGTTATAGGTTTGCATCTACTTAACCGTTAAAATGATGAGGTGGATAGTCATTTAATGATACCCATTTTTTTTTCTTTAAATTTCTTTGATTTTTTCAATTGCTGTAAAACTGATAAGTGATGGTTTTTATAGTGGAAGTAGTCTAAGGCCAAGCAATTTGTTAATGTGCATGTCATAAGAGGCAATTCAAATGCCGGGAGCAAGGGGCTAGTAACCCCTTATAGTGTATACATTACTAAAGTTGAAAAAAGAAATTTTAGTTTTTCTTTTTGGGCCACCCTGCTTCGGTGGGATACGGCCAGTTTGTTGAAAGAAGAAGAAATAAATTTACATTAATTGTGTTTCAGGATCACAAATAGATTAGAAGAATCACTCAACATCTTCGGGACCATTGTTAACAACAGGAACTTTCGTGATGTCTCCATAATCCTTTTCCTGAATAAGACTGACCTTCTCATCCAGAAAATAAGATCTAGACAAAGCAACATTTCTCATTATTTCACAGACTTTGTGGTAAGTATTTCACCCTGCCTCGGTGGGAGACGACCAACTTGTTGAAAAAAAAAAAAAAATTCATTTTGCTTCAAGTAGTAATAACTCATGAACTCAAGTAGAGAAAATTCTCTGTACTCTTGTGAAATTAGTGATACTGTAAACTTAAAATAGGTATTCAAGTTATTAGGTGTAATACTGTAAATTTTATATTTCAAAATAAGCTGTTTTGCTATAACTTCCAGTCCTTTTAATTGCACTATATTATCCACTAGAAGTACAGCTTACTACTTTTAATATTTGCTTTGATACTGATGAAGAGATCCTGATGCAAGGAATTGAACCTATTTTTTTTTTCCTGAAATCAAATCTGATTACCTGCCTTTACCTCTCTGTCACCTACAAAGGTAATGGAGTAATTATGTGTAATGCTGGAATTGCAACATCTTGACATACGTTAACACTAAGGCTAATAGATTTCTGGGGCCTGATGCCAACTCCACAAAGGAAGGTCTGGACATATTGAGAGTTCCACTTATTATTAGGTGACCATTGTTTTCTTGCATTTCACGGAACGTTAGTTGTTGGCGCATATGAATTACCATTTATAAGAATATAAATTGTAAGATGCACCATGGTTCATATTGTGCATTGTTCATGTAATAATAGACACATAGCTGATGTGTGGCCACTTGCATTGTACCACGCAAGCCTCGTATACATTATGTCTACCATAGCGATAAAATTGCTTACAAAAATGTTGTTTCATTGTATAATATTTCACACAGGGTAATCCTCATGATGAGAGATGTGTTCAGCAGTTTATCCTGCACAAGTTTGTGGAACAGCGGAGAGCAGACAACAATCGTAGGCCAATCTTCCACCACTTTACAACAGCAGTTGACACAGAAAACATTAAGGTGGTATTTAACTCTGTTAAAGACACAATACTTCAAAGGAATTTAGAAACACTTATGTTGCAGTGAAAGTTACCAAGTGCCAGTGAAGTCTGAGATCTTGTAGATGAACTACACCTTTGAAACCAACCCAGTGTTAAAGTTTTTCACAGTACACACATGATAAATAGCCAAAAATCTGTGCCATTGGAATATGGCTGATTTTCTTCAAGGTCACATTTCAAGTCACAGTTTTAATAATCCATTTGTATAACCAAAAACTATTTTGCAGGTATAATTTTTGCCAATCTCATATGATTATCATAAGTTCATTATGCAAATATAACACAGTTGGATTTTTTTTTTACATGGTCATGTAAGTACCTTCCATTTTTTTTTTTTTTTTTTTGAGATGTGTGTGATGTTCGTTATGTGGCTCACAGCAGTATTACAGTGGAAGTTTTACAGTACATATGCATTTTACAGTTGTTGAAATTCTGTTGTTTTATATATAGCAATTTGTTATTTTTCTATTTTATTTGGAAAGCCAAGCAAGATCTTAATAGGACGTAGTTATTTTATTCTTTATACTGCAATCAGAATAAGTTGTATTGAAGCTGTAGGAATGAACTCAAGGCTTCCATGGTAATGTATACACTGATTTTACAACCACTCAATACATAATCTGACCTACTGTACTGTATCTGTTTCATTATTGCAAACTGCTGAAACTTGGGAGGTAATGAAAATATTGTATATAATGGTATAGTAAAAAACTAATTCTCTATTCAGTTGGAAATATATATAATTTTTATATATATATATTTATACTTTAGCTGTAAAAGATTTATTATTTTTAGTATTTCCTTGTGTGTGTGGGAAGACATCGATTCTCTTTAAGCCCGCTGCTCAAAGCACGATAGAAAGATGTTACTTTCATAAAATGTAGCCTAATGCCACATTTTATTATATGTTATATATATTTTTGATCAAGATGATATTACATGTCCTTTCCAATCAGAATGTGTGATGGAGTTGTAGGCATAATCTATTCACAGTTATGTTAAGAACATAAGAGAGACTGCTGATATTAAAAGCAGAGCTAACTTTTTAATTATGGTAAGAAATGGTTTGAAACAGTGTAGTATATATATGTACATACATAAAAATGAAGGAAACATACTAGTAGTTGTTAATTTTACATATATAAATAATACATCTAGGTAGTAGGTTGGTAGACAGCAACCGCCCAGGGAGGTACTACCATCCTGCCAAGTGAGTGAAAAACGAAAGCCTGGAATTGTTTTACATGATGGTAGGATTGCTGGTGTCCTTTTTTCTGTCTCATAAACATGCAAGGTTTCAGGTACATCTTGCTACTTCTACTTAGGTCACACTACACATACATGTACAAGCATATATATACACACCCCTCTGGGCTTTCTTCTATTTTCTTACTAGTTCTTGTCCTTGTTTATTTCCTCTTACCTCCATGGGTAGGTGGAACAGAATTCTTCCTCTGTAAGCTATGCATGTTGTAAGAGGCGACTAAAATGCCAGGAGCAAGGGGCTAGTAACCCCTTCTCCTGTATAAATTACTAAATTTAAAAAGAGAAACTTTCGTTTTTCTTTTTGGGCCACCCTGCCTCGGTGGGATACAGCCGGTTTGTTGAAAGAAAGAAAGAAGAAATAGTACGTCTAGGTAGTAGGTTGGTAGACAGCAACCGCCCAGGGAGGTACCACTGTCCTGCCAAGTGAGTGTAAAATGACAGCCTGTAATTGTTTTACATGATGGTAGGATTGCTGGTGTCCATTTGTCTGTCTCATAAACATGCAAGATTTCAGGTGTCTTGCTACTTCTACTTACACTTAGGTCACACTACACATATATGTACAAGCATATGTATACACACCCCTCTGGGTTTTCTTCTATTTTCTTACTAGTTCTTGTTCTTGTGTATTTCCTCTTATTTCCATGGGGAAGTGGAACAGAATTCTTCCTCCGTAAGCCACCTGTGTTGTAAAATGCTGGGAGCAAGGGGCTAGTAACCCCTTCTCCTGTATAAATTACTAAATTTAAAAAGAGAAACTTTTCTTTTTCTTTTTGGGCCACCCTGCCTTGGTGGGATATGGCTGGTTTGTTGAAAGAAGAAGAAATAGTACATTAAAGGTTGCTTACCAAAGTTCAAATGATGAGCTTGCCCTTAGTATCAGCAATGCCTCCATTACCTTCAGATGTCTGAAAATAATGCTGATTACTCTCCAGCAATTATCAGCCAACAAGATTGATTCATTACTGAGTTGCATTTACTGGCCATGTGGCTCCTCACCCAGTTGTTACTTACATGTTTTAAACAATCTGGTAGCATAAATTGTCTTCATTGTTTACGTGTATATGATGCTAATCAGTTGTCACTGATCATATGATGAATGCAAGATAAAGCTCCCATTACTTGTATAAGTTTTTCTTGGAGTTTTGACATGACGGATGCTTAACTGATTTTTGTGGAGAAATACTCAGTTGTTTTAGACAGCTTCATGTTAAATTTATTCTTTTAACATTTTTCTTCCACTTTTTATTTGTGGATTCTGTACCTCTTTAATAGGGAATTATTTTCTTATTATACTTTGTCAGTTAATAATAATAAGGAAATGAATGGAATGATTTAAAAAATGCTTGGAAAAAATATCACATTTTAAGATGAAATATAGATAGAAATGTAAAATATATTGGGTAATTCATAAAATATATGAATTTTTGCCATCACTGGAAAATCTAAATTTTATAAATCTGCTCTCTCAAGTTTACTGAGAAAGATCTGAAAATGTTAATTTGTATGATCATTCATTCAAAGGCATTTGAAGATTATCTAATAATCCTAAACATTAAAAGTTTCCTCTTAGATCACAGAAGTGAGGTGCATTAAGGATATTTAGATTATTTTAGCAATTAATATTAGGGAATCTGTTGTTACTTTGCTCACATCCCAATAGTTTGTCAAGCCAGAAAAACCACTAGTGTCTATTCTGTTCACTGACCTAAAATGTTCACACAACCCTGTTGAATGCTCAAGCCCCTAGCTCTCAAAATCACCTCTACTCCCTCCCACAGGGCTGACCCCTGCACTTTTTGTCACCCCAGATTTATATGCCATCCTAGTCATAGTAGTTTGCTCAATCCTCAAAACATGATGACCAGGATGTATAAATCTGGGGTGGAAGGAAGGAATGGGAGGGGCCATTCCAGTAAGGGTTGGAGGGAGGGAGGGAGGGAGTAAAGGAGGCTTGAATGTTAGGGGTTTAAACATCCAACAAGCTTATGAGTGCATTAAATCAGAGTGAGTGGAGGCACTATAGGTCTATTCATGTCAATAAACTCCAAACAGGAATCCTTAAATCATATCTGCAGATGAAGAGGCAGATGATTTTTGCCTCTCCCACTCACAGACACCAAACCTCCATCTTTCAAAGGCAAGACACAATATGCAAGATACCAGTGCAGTTTGAATGGGTGCTAAATTATTGTTTATAAAAATATTCATAAAAACAAAAGACATTTTCTTTGCTTAAAGAGACTTTTATTTTTATAATAGGTTAACTAATGTGGACCAAGTTTATCAAATCTCTTTGGAAAATGGTCTTTGCTTAAAGTAACTCATGGCATTGAATGAAGCTTGTCTATATTCAGACTTCTTCTCTGATAGGTACTGTACTTATAAACTTGTGTTTTTGTCTATTCTTCCCACTTTTCCTATTAGTTCTTGTAGGTTTAGTACTTCCTTTTTGATTATAATAATAATACCTATTAATTTCTGGGTTTTTATTTTAGATCAGTTTCCATTGTACTGTGTAAATTTTAGCATCTTTTAGTATACTAAACTTCCTGAAATTTGTATTCCTCATAGCATTCAACAGCTTGAACATAATTCCTATTTCAGTCATCGGTAGTATCATTTTTTTCTTTGTTGTTGTTTGGTCCTTTTGAGTGAAAGTCTGCAAATGCTTAGTTGTGAGATTTGCATGAGTGGAGTAATCCAGGCTCAACCTTCATTATCATTTTTTAGCTGTTATATACCTAGAAGGGGTTTATTGAGATGGTTTAGGAATGTAGAGAGGATGGAGGGGGATAGAATGAGAAAGTGTGTGTATAAATTGGGAGTGGAAGGTAAGAGGGGTAGGGTTCATCTCTTGAAAGGAGGGGTAAGGGAGGCTTTAAGTTGTAGTGAGTTGAGCATCCAGCAGGCTTATGTGAGCATGGCAGAGAGTGAAAGGAGACTAAGTTATTTTTAGTGGAAGTGTTAATGGAGTGTGAGCAAGGTGGCATTTGGGGTGCTGAGAAGAAAACTGATGAACTTGCCACTGTCTTTAAAATAAGATGTTTCATTAAGATTGTATGGTGTGCTACCGAGATATTGTTGCAGATGTTTGTAGGCTGTCACAAAGGTGACATTTGGCAGTTCATCAGTTTTCTTTGTTGCGAATGATTGTAGGTGATTTTCACAAAAGTGACATTTGGCAAGTTCATTGTTTTTCTTCTCAGCACCTTATTCATGAAGGGATTCAGGAAAACTGGTTAGCTGAACTTTTGAGTTTTGGATGTGGGCAGGGCAGTGCTGCACTCAGAAAGAGGGATGGAGAGGGTAATCTGAATTGTAATGTTAGCAAACTTCTGGCAAGACAGTGATTGAATGAATAATAGTGAATGTGTTTTCTCTGGGTCACCTTGCCTAACCAGGAGATGACCATTGAGATAAAAAGAAAATATGCATGATCAGTTTTTGAAGTTCTCCCACAGCCTGGTGTATACTAGATTTTCCTGCTGACCAACATTTTTTGTTGTTATAGTCCAAGTGTAGCTGTTCTAATCCTTGTGACATTATTACATAAAACTGAAGAGTATAGTGTAGTGAAATCAGTTTTGTTACATTTTATTTCTCGTCCTCATCTATTGTTATGTTAAGTTCATGAAATTAACAAAAGTTAGGTTGGTTATTTTCAGTCAGTGTTCTCAAGTAATTAAAATATATCATTACAACAACAGATAAGCTAGACTCATAATAATTAGGGCCAGATGAATTTTTTTTTACATTCAGTATATGATGGAAATCTTTCTAATAATTATATAGCTTTGGAGAGGAAAATAGTGGATAGTAGAGACCTTGAAGCCTTAAATGTTTTTTTAAAAAACTTTAATCCTTCTGTGATAAGACAAGCATGTGTGTACTTTTGTGAAGGTAAAGCACTACTCAAAATAGTTATAGATAAGTGATGTCTCAATTTCAGGGCTTCTGTATCCAAACTTGAATTTTTTTTTATCTGCCGTAAAAGCTCATTTAAAGTGAGCTTTCATTGCACGAATTTGTCACAGCGCTCTTTATAAAGAGGAAAACCCAAAATTTCCTCAGTACTAATCAATTTTCTCGAGTGCAGTCAAACTTTTCAAGGTTCCTTGCTCATTTGCAACACCGTACCTTGTCTCCAACTAGCCTTACACCCACTCATCTGCTGGCCAGCTACATCTCAAGTGGTTTAACACTCACAATTAATAGCAAATGTTTTATGGAAATTTCTTACTTTTCTACATCCCTCCTCCTCCACTGCACATTAAACCCTAGAACCCACAATGATTACTAGTGATACTGGATGTCAGAAAGTAGAGAAAATGTGACTATTAAAATATCAAGTGAAATTTCTGTTTGATATGGCAGCAGTAAATTCTTTAAACATTTATTGCTTAAAATAAAAATCTTGTTAAAACATTCATACATTTTTAATGAATGTGAAAGGGTATAAGATTTTGTCTACTATTAATGGCAATGAAATTAGTAGTCTATATGTTTGCAATTCAATTAGACAGAAAAGTTGTTTGAATCTTTGAGGATTCTTGAAAATATATGATTTTCTACAGCATGGCAGATGATAATGTGGAAGCTGTTCCCTAGCATTTAAAATAAGTGTTGAAGTTACAGAATTTTTTGTCGACTGGTCATTATTTTAATAATATATTCTGAGCATTGTACATTCACAAGTGTGGAGACTCACATGTGCTGATCACCAAGTGCTCACGTATCAATTGCCCAATCATAAGGGAGTTCACAGGTGTTCACTGCTTAGTCACCAGTGAAGAATGATATAAGCTGTACTAGCTAACCTATCCTGGCTGCCAGAAAGAAAGAAAGCTATACTGTGCATTACTGTTTTTAATATTGGGGGATTTTTTTCAAGTGGGTGTTAACCTTGAGATTTTTTGGAACTTACCCCTATAATTTCCATTTATTATATGCTTCATGTTGTACAAATTTAGGTTGTGCATGGATTTTTAAGAACATGACTGTCACGCTGAGTGAGTACTGGCAGGCCTCTCATAATGTGTATTTAGGTAGCTTGTTTTTATTAGAACGATACTCGTATTTATATCTCAAAATTATTAGAACACAGCTCCAGCCTGTGTTTAACATGGCTGAAGCTGGAAAAAAAATTAATTTGGGCTGGTTCCCACTTGGAAAATTTCCCTCTGTGCCATAAAGTTGGGGAAAAATTTGAAATGGACTGGTTCCTGTGTGGAAAGTTTCTCTCTCTACTCTAGGCATCACCATTGTTTAAAGGAAGCCTAGCTTTGCTCTCCTCCACCCTCCCCCATTTACATCTGCAGCCCATCCTTATGGTCAGTTTGATAACAAGTCTTGTACTATTGTCTTGTGTGTTTGTCACTTCATATTTTTGGATATTTTCATTGTGCCCATCTTATATTGCTGGTTGGTGGCCATAGGTGATGGGACTGTAGGTTGCTGAGGTGGTGGCAGCTATAATACGAAATATTATTGCTGTAAGCAATGGTGATATGTGGTGATAGGGCTGATAAGTTGTGGAAGTGGTATCAGCTGTTATATGATATATTACTGGCTGTATGAGAAGGTGATGATAGATGGTGTTAGGTGGTGATAGTGCTGGTAGGTGTTCATAGGTGATGAGGGCTGATAGGTGATGATAGCTGGTGGTGTTAGGTTAACAAGCAACCACATCTACAGTGTAAGGTATCAAGAGCTATATTATTTTTGACGAAATAAACACTTAAATAAAGTTTGTATGATTTTCTTGGGGTGCTATGCACTGAGCCCTATTTTTCACGTGCATATGTAGTACTGTACATGTGCAGTTTTACATTAAGTGCTGATTTCAGGAACATAACTGCAACATTGTGTGGGGTCTTGCTGTATTCATGTAGTTTGACTAGATATTAATAATTACCGTATATGAAAGTGATATTACTGTTGTGTATGTGTGTGTGTGTGTGTGTGTATACACTCACCTAATTATGGTTGCAGGGGTCGAGACTCAGCTCCTGGCCCTGCCCCTCTTCACTGAGTGCTACTAGGTCCTCTCTCTCTTCCTGCTCCATGAGCTTTATCATACCTCATCTTAAAGCTATGTATGGTTCCTGTCTCCACTACCTCATTTGCTAGGCTATTCCACTTCCTGACTACACTATGACTGAAGAAATACTTCCTAACATCCCTTTGACTCATCTGGGTCTTCAGCTTCTAATTGTGACCCCTTGTTTCTGTGTTCCCTCTCTGGAACATCCTGTCTCTGTCCACCTTGTCTATTCCACGCAGTATTTTGTGTGTGTGTGTGTGTGTGTGTGTGTGTGTGTGTGTGTGTGTGTGTGTGTGTGTGTGTGTGTGTGTGTGTGTGTGTGTGTGTGAGAGAGAGAGAGAGAGAGAGAAAATCTCGGTTATATGTGTACAGAAAAAATTCCTATTAATCCATTATAACAGCTGAGTCATAGAATGACCTATTGAATGTTCAGGCTCATACATGACTATTATGAAGCATTAATATAATGGAGAAAAAGTTTCTTTTTATCATTGTGACCAGAGTTGGTTCTTAATGCAATTTGCAGTGTTTTTTTTTTTTTACTTTATAATAAAAAATTAATGTCTAATTAACAATTGGCACACATTGTTGAAGGTAATGAAAGAAGCAAACTATTCAAAACTTTTATTTTTTACATGTACAATAAGTCTTTGATTGATATTGATATATTTTTATTTACTTGTTATTTAATATCTCAGAATTTATTCTAGGTCACTTTGTTTATGTAGCTACTCTAATTATAATATGTATCTTCTGTGCTAGAACAGAAGCCACATTCAGATATTTTTTGGTGGTGAAGAGTAAAAAAAAGTTACAATCGACAAATAGCCCACACTTTGGAGAGGAAACTTTAGACAATGTTTTGCTCCATCTCTGAATTTTATCAAGTTGTGACTTGGTCTAGGATGGACAAAAATGTCTTCTAAAATTTCCTCCCCAAAGTTTGGGTTGTTTGTGTATTTTCTGATAATCAATGTTGATCATTACCCAGGAAGGCCTCAGCAAGGGTGAGTCAACCTCAGATAACTTGGCACACACAACTTGCTGCTCATTGGGCACAACCATTGAGAGCATTGCTTTCAATCAGTCAAATTTAATATTGCTTTATAAATAAATATACTAAAAGTAATGCTTCTTGCAGGATTTATTGATTTTAGATCATTATTAATCTTATAAATCTATTATCACACATTACTGCTTTTCTCATTTGCCAAAGGCATTAAAACAGAGAGCAATGGGTGATAAAGTTTAGCAAGAACTGTTGCTTTGCAGCATTTTGCATAAAAGACATAATACATATTTGTTAATATTATAATAAGCTTTACAGTTTTGGTGGAGGAAGCCAGTTCCATATTTATTTAACATAATGTAACATATGTATACCCACTTATTTTTATCTTATCAACTGTACAAAATAATTCAAATATAATTACAGTAGTATGATAGTACAAGAAGCAAATACTGTACTGTAAAAGCTTTTATTGATAGTGTATCAGATATCATTTGTAAAATGTAAAAAAAAAAAAAATTGTACAGTATTTGCGCTTAAAAATTGTCATCAACTTTAACTTACCGTAAATACCTCCGACAAGCCTTTCCATTCATTCATTTCAGCACTGTTATGTAGACTCTTGCCTAAACTTTTTAATAATAAATCTTCATATATTCAAATATTAAAAGACAGCACTAAATGTTAAAAGTATTTCTTACATTTATACAGTGGACCCCCGCTTTACGATATTATTTCATTCCAGAAGTATGTTCAGGTGCCATTACTGAACGAATAAGGATTATTGTGAATTAGATTAGTCCATTTCAGACCCCCAAACATACACGTACAAACACACTTACATAAATACACTTACATAATTGGTCGCATTGGGACCTGATCGTAAAGTGGGGGTCCACTGTATTGTGTTTTTGCTGCCACAAGTGAATTTAATTGTAATTGCCTCAAGAAATAATCTTGTCCTAAGGGTTTGTGTACAGTGAGTGCCCCAATTTACGAGTTTTCTGAGTTACGAGCTGTCACTCGGTCGATTTTTTGCTTTGAGTTGCGAGCGAAAATCTGAGTAATGAGCGAAAAAAAAAATTTACTGAAAATGACATTTGGTAGGAATCTCGGCCAAAATGGCACAACAAAAGGTGGTTTTGGGACTTGGTACTTATAAAACAATGCTAGTGCAGTGTTCTCACTGGAGGTAATTGTGTAATTATGTTTAGTTATTCTACAAAAAAATAAAGTTGGTAAGTAGTGCAATGTTCTCACTGGATGTAATCGTGTAATTATCTTTAGTTATTCTGCAAAAAAATAAAGTTGGTAAGTTTTTGACATTTGCAAAATATCTTGCCCTTTACTCCCACACAAATCCCAAAATATTTGGAATATTTTCAATATTCCACAAGCCAATTGTAGAGCAATCATTTTTTATGATTCTTGTCAATATTATTGCATTTACTTCAAATTCAAATTCAAATTCAGATTTATTTATTTATTTGCAAGTAGTACACTGATATTATATTTTTACAGTAATGGGTTACAGTGCAAAGAGAGCCTCTATTATGCCTTGGCATTATGGGCCGACTTAATTTATTTTCAATAATAAATGATGGGGTTCATGAAATAAGTTAATAACTTCCTTCTGAGATATTCATATACTACATCACTGCACTAGTGGTCTAGTGCAGTTAGCCTCTCAAAATCTCCATTTTCTCTTACCCAAGACCAAAGAACATGTTATAGGAATGAGCAGTAATAATTTTATATGCTTGGACTGGTCCTGGCCTATTTTATTCATTCTGAGTACATATATAATGTTTCTATGTTACTTATAGTGTGTATTATGTCATATTAGATCAATTCTGATGGATAAATAAGCCGTAGAGTTGATATTAGTGTTATATTGAAGTATTTTCTCCTGCCTCTGGGGTGGTTTTTTGGGGGCTGGAATGGATTAATGGCATTTCAGTTAATTTCAGTGAGGAACATTGATTTGATATATGTACGAGCAAATTGAATTACGAGCTCAGTCACGGAACGAATTAAACTCGTAAGTCAAGGTGCCACTGTATTTACCAAAGTCTTGTAAACAAACAGTGTAGGGAAATAAAGGAAGACTGACAGGGAAAGACGAGGTATCACAAGAATGGAGAAAAACAGAGGATTTTAAAATGATGAGTCTACAAACATTAGTGTAATATTTGATGACAGGTTGCATTTCAGCCAGATGGTACTGCAAAGTGATCATGACCAATTAGTGCCATTTTAGGCGAGGCTTTTTCATATGTACTATAATTGGTTTGTCATTATTTAATGGCTAAAACTCGCCAGTTAATTCTAAATTACCCCAAGGCCGTAAAAACTCAGCACATATGTCTAGTAGATGTTTAATGTGTTTATTTATAATTAGGTGTGGGATTATGGTATTTAATTAATTAATTTTTTTTGTATGTATCTGCCACCTCCAGAAAAGTGGCTTTTTTTTTTTTAAGTTACTGTAACAGTAATTTGAAAGTCAGATTAACAGTCTTAATATTTAAGTTAATAATATAGTGTAAATATTGTATTTGATGTGAGGATGATAAATATGTGGATGTCAGTCACTTAGCAATAGGCTTTATACACTGTGTGAGTGGAAATCAATACCAAAATTTTTTTCTATGGATAAAGTGTATGCTCTTCCAGTGTTTTTATATAACATTTTACACAGTGTTGTTAATCTCTTATTATTAAGAACTGAGTGAAAGACATCATACCATTTCATAAAAAGCACAAATCTAATATTTGTGATTTTTTTTCTGTCTGGATTTTTTTTCCCTTTTGAGCCATTGAAGAAAGATGATTTTTTATATTCTCTTGTATCATTAAAATAGGTGAACAGATTTTAAGTGTGTGATAAAGTTTAAGTAAAGTTCAGCCTGTATTAGTGATTTCTCTAATTTTTTCTACTAAAGGGCCTTTAACAAATTAATTAATATACTCTAGTGGATAAGCAGCATACAAGTTGTTCATATGCCTATGGAGAATATATTGCTTTGTAGTTAAGTACTGAATTTCTCTCAAGCTATGACAGAGCAATATTTTTTATTTAGTACTGTATCATGATCAAATCTGGAGTCAGTGTTGTTATTGATTTTATCCTGGAGGGTATGGGACATATAATAAAGATAATAAACTATAGATTTTGTTATTATTAAATGCAAATTGATGTTTGTTTTAAGGGAAACCATGACAGATTCATTAGCAGAATATGACTACTGACTTTATTTATATTTATTTGAAAAAGACATTGTTTGGTGCTATGATTGTCACAAATTGTATGCTTGTCTCTAAAAAAGTTGTTTACAGTCTGAGATTTATCTTTTATTCTCTGTATGTTAGAGTTTAGTGCTTTGTTGAGGCCACAGCTTTTTGTTAATAAATGATTGTTATATTATTAAAAAGTATTATATTTAGTTTCAAAGCTTTTCATTATCTGTACTGAGGAAATTATTTGTGTACTGTATCATTTACATGAACTATAAACCAGGAATCTATATGATAGTACCTGTATATGAAACTGCCCGATGTTTAACTGTATTGAAGCCCATTTTCCAGCTAATCATTGCATGTTACCTTGGAAGAAGCAAAGTGATTAGAGTAAGAGTTTAAGGACAGAAGTACAGTGCCTGTGCTCTATGAGGGGTGTTGATATGTTGAAGTTTTTAAATGTAGTGTAGGCATGCTTCTGGCAAGACATTGACGAAGTGAATGATGATGAAAGGGCTTATTTTTCGAGTCACCCTGCCTTGGTGGGAAACTGCCGGTGTATTAATAAAAAAAAAACATTAAAGACAGACTGTATGTCAGATTGGAAGAAGGTAGTATGGAGGTGGTGAATGTTTTTAGATAATAATGAGTCATTATATTGGCAGATGGGTCCATGAAAGATGACATGAATCACAAAACAGATGGAAAGAAAGTAGCAAGAGTGTTGAAGTCTGTAGAAGGAAGTAAATTTGTCACTGGATGCAAAATGGAAAGGTTGTCAGTTTATAGATAATCTTTTTTTTTTTAAATTTAGCAGTGAGGAGGAGGCTGGAGATAGCTGAGATGTAATGTTGGAGATCGATATGCAGTGTGAATATTATGCAATGAATGAATAGTGAAGAAATTAGAAGTTGGTGTTCTGGTAAGATAGGCATAATTCAGGGAGCAGAAAAGGATAGTTGAGATGGTTTGGCCAATTTGAAAGGGTGGAGCAAGAAAAGTTGATTATATATAAGTGGAGGCAAGTTGTTTTTGGGATTTGATATGCTGTTGGATTGTGAACATGGCAGTAGCTATGAGAGGATTAAGGAAAACTAATTATCGAGGGTTGCATTTTTGCGGTGGGTATTATGATGCCTACACTTTAAAAATAAGTGGAGATGCTACAATTTAAGTACCTTGAAGAGTTTATTACAGTACAGTACTACTATTTCACAGTGGTTATCTGGTTCAATCTTCTTTATTATTAAAAAACTGTTCACAGAAAAATGGACAAGGTACAGAAAGTCCAAAGATGAACTACAAATTGTCTCTCAGAGCTAGCAAAAAAAGAAAAATTACAAAGAAAATTTGAAAATATTAGTCATGCTCCCATGGGCTGATAGGTGGAAAAGAAGGAACATTAAACCCACAGAGTATCAGGTTATAAAACAAGGGGAATAAATTTAAAAGGAAGATTTCCTAAGAAGATCAGCAGGGAGACCAAGAGGTAACTCTAACCTAAAAGTGATGATGCTGAAAGGATATTTTACTAGACAGTTCTACATTAGATTAAATATCAAAGACAGGAAACCTCAAGTTTAGCTCTTCTCCTGTAGCTACAAATATATACAGTAATTACACATACCAAACATATTACATATTGAAATTGAATGGGCCCCAAGTAACGTACGAATTCTCAGCATCATTATCTGTGCAGGTGATTTTTTCAGTACTATTAGATGTAAAATTTATACAAATTTGATGTAACATAAATCAATATTTCAAACCATAGTGAACTAAAATACTCCATTTAATTAAATTTTTGTATTAATGTGTATATTTTGACATTTCTATGCATGTATTTGTAAATATGTTTCAGAAGATAGGACAATTTCTTTATCTTTTATGTTTATGTTGTACACTAAGAGAGTTCTCATTAACTAACTGGCTTTCAAGTTATGCATGTTCTGATGATGTTTCTACAGGCAGTTGCCCTAAGTTGCAATTAAACATGTTAGCTAACCCTTTGCTGCTAGACACTTCTATTATCAGAGAGTTGTAAGCAACACATGCCTTTTTTACACTCTCACATTTGACAATAGAATTTTCAAGTTTTGGCAGATGCTTTCAGAGAACAGTCTCATCATGTGAATATTGAACATCATGTAACCAAAAAACTGCCATAAACAGTTGTAGCATTTTTTCATGGATTGTGAGGAATCAAAGCAAAGGGCTCGTAATTTCTTGATTCTAGTTTGGTACCCCACATTCCATGAAAAACTGAACATCATGTTTATTAGTGAAATAGTATATGTATTTGACTTGCATTCTGATACCTTTGAGTATGAGAATCCTAGTTTAATGATCATACTTGCTTAGTTTTTAGGAGCCTAAACCTATACTGAATTACGTTATGGCTTTTCTATTTTGTACAGATCTGTGAATTGTATATTTCATATTTGTTATATATTTCTGGAGAAGATTAAACCAAGACATTTTGCATGTGTTGTGCTTTGAGTTAGTGCCTCACAGAAAATGAGATACCTGTATATTGTTTATATTTTATTAAAAAACTAAATTTGTAATTATGTGCTTCCCTATGCATTTATTCTCATTTTGTGGTTTGATATAGCTTTAATACTGGAAGTTATTTGATATTACTGTATTATTTATCATCCTTTCAAGGAGTTACCTTGATGCTGGTGAAGGTCTCTTGATTTAAGGAATTGGAGCTTTCTTGTATTAAACCTGATTACCCCAATCATCCCCATCATTACCTTTAAGGGTTTAGTGCTTTCCCATGAATATTATAATAACAGTAATAGTAATAAAGTTGGTAGAATTACCGACAATATGTAAAGTAAAAGGACACAAGTGCAACTAATGTGACATTTATTGTGGCAACGTTTCTCTCTCCAGGAGCTTTATCAAGCCATTACAAACAATACATGGACACAGAGGGTATATAAAGGCTCAGAGTGAGGTGCAATATTAGTGAGGTACCATTTCGATGTTCACTAGTGGTAGTAGTAGTAGTAGTAGTAGTGGTAGTGACAAAAGTAATACAATATGGTAGAGCAATTAATTCGTACATGAGTAAAAGGATATAAAAGCTATTACTTGGGCAACATAAAAATAGGTTGGACAAATATAGACTGGAAAGAGGCAGCTTGTTTCAATGTTCACTCTCTGTAATGTGCTTTGTGTAGTATAACAGGAGAGACTATGTGATGGCAGGGTTTACTGTTTTTAGGAGGATTCTTGCTAAGACTTCGGAGATGGTGAAGCTGCCGTTGTTTTGTTTAATTGTATTTGAAACAGCGATCAGTGCTGATTCGAGGCACTTGCGTCTGCGGTAATTAGTTTCTTTGATCACTAATTGGAGTCCAATGACAAGCTACCTTTCCTCGACGTCCTCATTCACAAAGTAGACAAAAACCTAAGATTTCAAGTTTATCGGAAACCCACCAATAAAAATGATTTCACACACTTCTATTCCAGTCAAGATACCAAAACCAAAAGAGGCATCATCATCGGGTTTTTCCTAAGAGCATACCGAATTTGTAGTCCTGAGTTTCTTGACGAGGAATGTACATACATTCACCAAACATTCACTGAGTTACATTTTCCTTCTTTTTTCATCAAAGACTGCAAGAAAAGAGCTCTTCAGATCATTAATTCTCCACGCATCAACGCCACTCCCAACAAAGTTATAATTCTTCCCAACAGCCAGGTTGCACTGAACGTCTCAAAAATACTTTCACAAGCTAACACCAGAGTCGCCATCGCTTCTAGCACTTCAATAAAGGATCTAACCAGGACAAAATCCAAGCACCACGAACCAGTCAATGCAGGAGTTTACACTATACCCTGTGGAGGTTGTGACAAGATTTATGTAGGTGAAACAGCAAGAAACCTCGACACCCGCCTCAATGAACACATTTACGCATGTAGGAACGATAACTTGAACAACGCCTGTGTACAACACCGAAAATTCCACCAATCATCTCATGAAATTCAGAGACGCCCAATTAGTGATCAAAGAAACTAATTACCGCAGACGCAAGTGCCTCGAATCAGCACTGATCGCTGTTTCGAATACAATTAAACAAAACAACGGCAGCTTCACCATCTCCGAAGTCTTAGCAAGAATCCTCCTAAAAACAGTAAACCCTGCCATCACATAGTCTCTCCTGTTATACTACACAAAGCACATTACAGAGAGTGAACACTGAAACAAGCTGCCTCTTTCCAGTCTATATTTGTCCAACCTATTTTTATGTTACCCAAGTAATAGCTTTTATATCCTTTTACTCATGTACGAATTAATTGCTCTACCATATTGTATTACTTTTGTCACTACCACTACTACTACTACTACTACTACTACTACCACTAGTGAACATCGAAATGGTACCTCACTAGTATTGCACCTCACTCTGAGCCTTTATATACCCTCTGTGTCCATGTATTGTTTGTAATGGCTTGATAAAGCTCCTGGAGAGCGAAACGTTGCCACAATAAATGTCACATTAGTTGCACTTGTGTCCTTTTACTTTACAAACAGTAATAGTAATAATAATAATAATACTTTTTATCATAAAATGTTTGATACAGTGTGGTTCATCTGATGTACAGGTGTTGATAGTAAATATGATGTGATCAGCATCTGTTTTGACCCAGCACCCAATACCTGGAGTTGTAGAGACAGGCTGTTAACTGAAAATGTTAAAAGTGTGGTTCCTTGCTATGCAATGGGGCTTTTGGTTCAAGAAATTAAACCTTGTCTCCCTTGGATCAAATCTAAATAACCCTGAACTATCCCTCTCCTTTAGGCATCTTAAGGGACTGTTTTTGTGTGGGGCTCTTGATTCAGGGAATTGGACCAGTCCTTCCTTGGATTGAACCTGATTGCCCTGTAATTCCTTAGGCAGTGACCCCTATGGATTTAGTGCTTCCTCCTGAATGATATAATAATAATCTACTTTTGTGTTGACAAGGAAAAGAAATCATTTTTTGTTCTAACAATTTTCTTTGGTAGTACAGTGGACCCCCGGTTAACGATATTTTTTCATTCCAGAAGTATGTTCAGGTGCCAGTACTGACCGAATTTGTTCCCATAAGGAATATTGTGAAGTAGGTTAGTCCATTTCAGACCCCCAAACATACACGTACAAATGCACTTACATAAATACACTTACATAATTGGTCGCATTGGGAGGTTATCGTTAAGCGGGGGTCCACTGTACTTGGTGACTGGGTCATTCTGCCTGATGGAAAACTGGACCATCTTACAGCTTGTCAAATGACCAGGTAACCATCTGGCAGGACCTTTGAAGGAAGAAGTACTACTGAAGGTTGCCTGCAGATTCAGGAGTGGCAAGTGAAGCTGTAGAATTCTTGGTGTTCTTTCCAGTTTGCCTGCCGCCTTTATTAGTTGAGAGATGATTGCACATTTTGTGCTCGTTAAAACAGGCAGTTTTTTTTAAGTTTTGTTCAGTCACTCCTAGAGGCAGGAGGGGGAAAGGAGTGCCAAAATTTCTATATTGGGAGCTTTGGGGTAGCTATCTGGTCGAAAGGGGGGTAGGAAGCTCTTTTTGAAGCAGCTATTTTATTAGTATTTATTACTATTTTTACTTGGAGCTGAAGAACCAAACTCCCCCCCCCCCCCCCACATCTTGGTACTGCCTGGAGGAGTCATCCTTGTACACCAGGTAGGGTAAAAGGTGGTTTTTTAAGTGAGCAACAGTACTACCTGTAGCTTATTACAGTCACCCAGTGGCTAATAAACTACCAGTTGCAGTGGACATGACCAGTGGACATTGTTTATTCTCGGAGTTTCCCCCAACCTCCCCAATTTTTTACTTTATGATATCGAGACATTCCCTTATTCTCCTGGATTTTCAGTAACTGCAACACCTATCAAAGGACTCTGGCATGGCCAGAGTCCCTTAGAACTCAGAACAGCTTATGGATAATCACTTGTTATCCAAAAACCTCTGAGCCTCACATTACTTTGGCTATAGAAGCAGCATTCTCCAAGATGGAAATAAATGGTATAAAATACCGACACAATGGAAATATAAACACAAAAGCAGTATACATGTAATGTGATCCTTTATTGACAACATTTTGCCCACACAGTGGGCTTTAAGTCACAGATTTGATAAAGCCCACTATGTGGGTGAAATGCTGCCAATAAAGGATCACATTATACTGCTTTTGTGTTTATATTTCCATCCTCCAAGATGGAACGATTCATTGATAATCCACACATCAAGAGGCAGAGTGGTTCGAAATCATCTGCCAGGAGACAGACTCTCTCTAGATGCCTTCCTTTCTCAATTACACTCAAATGTTCCAAACTTCAGAACACTCATGACTTGACCTGATTTTTTTCCCTCTCTCCTCGTTTCCCATTTTTGTCTTCTTTTATTCTGCCTAGGTGTGTTCTGTCCTTCAGTTCTTTACCACCTACTGCTACTACCACTACTACTACTTCCATTACCAGTATTACCTCTACCACTATTCCACTCCATTTTTTCTCTTTCTGGTATAGCCCTTGTGGCTTTGCGCTTCTTTTTGATTAATAATAATAATTCTCTTTCTGGCCTGTCCTTGTTCCCTTCTATTTAAACTGACCCCCCCCCCCTCACCAGTGTTAGTGTGACTTGTAAATGGTCCAAGCCGGACCAAAACTTCCGTCATAAGTTTCTCTCTCCTATGTGTAGGTTATTAGTGTAGAGAGAGAATATTGGTGACAGTCCATACATCTCAGACAGACACCAGGGGCTGTGAATCGACCCCTGCAACCATATATGGGTGAGTACACCACCTGGAAACCTCCCCCACTAATGGAATCCTTTCAAGCATTGCTGTATGACCCCAGTAGGTTTAGCGCTAGGTTTTGATGATAATAATCGAGCATTACAGTGAACAAAAAATCACTGCAATGAATCCTGATGCATAGCGAGTGACCACAAATTTGCACAAGAACCTTGACCCATATCATGACCCATCCTCCTCTTCCTCTTTCTCTTTCTCTTTCTCTCTTTCTCTTTCTCTTCCTCTTTCTCTTTCTCTTTCTCTTACTCTTTCTCTCTCTCTTCCTCCTAGACCATTAAAACCCTTCAACCCAACTTGAGGTGTCAAAGTATCACACGGCCTCAGCACCGTTCCAGTCCTTCAACCCAACAACAACAACAACCACCCATTGTAAGATAAAGAGCAGGAAAAAAAATACAGAAGAAAATAGAGTCCTTCACGTGAGAAGGACATCACTACCAGCGTCACACACAATTATCCCACCATTATCCTGCCTGGGTAACACTTATCCATTCACCTTTTGGGAGTAAGTGAGCTTCAATTCGCATTTAATGTGAAAATAATTAGTCATTGTTTGACTTTCTTGTTTAATTTACTTATAGAACCATTGTAAGTGTTTCAAATTATGCAGTAACTTATGGATTGACTTCATGAAGTCAAACACTGCCTCATATTGCAGTAAGAATCCAAGTGAAGCTCCAATACAAGTCTGGAACTCCACTGAAAATAAGTGACATTGTTAGGTTATCGTACTTTATATTTTGTACAATATATATATACTTACTGCAGTGTTCTTTCTTTCCTATATTCCTATAACCTTTGTTCCCTCAAAACCATTGCAAGATTTTAAACCTGTATGAAACCTTAATAAATTTTATTTACCTGACCTGGATAATGGATCCAGCCACCTCTTAAGAATATAATAATGAAGGAGCAATATAGCAGGCCTCTTGGTCTATACTAGGCAGGTCTAACTCACACCCACCCACACCGTCTTGTCTACCCATACAACCTATATTTAAAGCTACCCAAAGTTCTTGCCACAATAATGCTAGCTGGGAGTTTGTCCCACTCATCTATAACTCCATTGCCAAACTGATACTTCCCTATATCCTTTCTTAATCTAAATTTCTCCACAAGAAATTTGAAGTTTCTGAAAAGATTTGCTTTAAGAATACCTACTTGGCACTTTGTTCCACTTATCTATACCTTTCAATTCCTCTATGCTGGCAAGGGGCTCTTGATCCAATGAATTTGACTTTTTCCCCCTATTTATGTTATCAGACTTTGTTTTCTCCCATTCCTCAGACACTGTATGACCTCGACAAGTTTAGCGCTTCCCCGTAGATATAAAAATAATACACCCTTCAGAGAAATGGAGCTATCCTCTTCTCTAGACCAAATCTGATTATCTTTCATACCCCAGGCTTTGTGTGATCCCTATGGGGTCATGTAGTAACACAGTAATATTTCTTTTATCTACAACTTATGTCTGGCCAGTGCTTTCCTATATCCTTTGCCAAACCATTACAGTACTTGTTGGCTAATGACACCACTCTTATTGTATCAAATACAAACCTTGATTCCCTAAAAGATATAGCCTAGAATATCTCCTCATCTTTAAACTATAGAATGAGTTGAGTGTTCATCTGAGTCTACTGTTTGTGTAGAAATATAGAAAAAATGCTGTGTGCAAAATATATCATACATGTACTCTTAATATACTGTAATACTTGTGTGTGTAAACCCTATATTACAGTAATTATAAATTTTGAAAATTATGTATACAGCACATTTATTATCAGTGTCATGATTTCTGCCAGGTGTTGTGATGGAAGGCCTTGGAGGAAGCTATCTATATCCGAATGATAGCCGACAACAGCAACCTGAATGGGGACGTGATCGTCCAATTACCTTTGAAGATCTTGGAATACCGAGGTTTCAGGCTACCCGTTCTACAGTCCTTGGCAATGTAAGCATGAAAGTTGTTTTGGCAATAGAGCTTATGTTAATTTCATTTATAATTATTAATGTTCCTCTTTGTTTTATTATTTATGTACATTATTCTACAGCACATATATTTGTTCTCAAAATTTAATTGTAATTTGATGTCAGATTTTAGTTGTGATTTGAGACAGTGAACTATGACAAAGAGTATGATATTGACTACACGTACTTGGATTTCAGTAAGGCGTTTGATAGAGTATCACACACAAGATTTGATAAACAAAATCTTGCAGCACATGCCATAATTGGAAATATCTTCACAGAGACAGAGGCATGGCTGACAAATAGGCAGCAGAGAGTCTGCATAAATAGGGTAAAATCAGAATGAGGACCAGTCGCACATGGAATTTCTCAAGGATCAGGTTTAGGCCCCTCGTTGTTAATAATATATGTAGTAAATAACCTTGACAAGTAACAAATAGTGGGTGGAACAAGTGCAGAAGCCTTCAAGAGGAAACTGGACAAGTATCTTCACCAGGTGCCAGATCAACCAGGCTGTGATGGATATGTGGGGCAGCGGGCCTCCAGCAGCAACAGCCTGGTTGACCAGGCAAGCACCAAATGAGCCTGGCCCATGGCTTCGAGAGTAGTCAAACTCTCAAAGCTCTTTAAAGGTATATCAAAGGTAAGGTATTTTTAACTGGTGAGTTCCCTGTAGACACAAAAATAGATTGAATAATAAATGCAGAGGATGATACCACTGAATTTCAGAAAGATTTGGATAAGCTAATGTTAGTGTTTGAAAAGCAGCAGATGCAGGTCATTGTAGATAAGGACAAAGTCCAAATCTTCAGGGATGTAAGTAGCCCTGGCATTTATAAACTAAATAATATGGAACTTGATCACATGGAATGTGAGAAGGTCTTGGGGTTATAGTGAGCAGAAATCTGAAACCAAGACAGAGTAGAATTCATTTCCATTAAGAAGTGCCACCATGGCAGGCAGATAGGAGACCCATTCTTATGCTTTCCAGAAACATTTGTTTTAGCAGTATAAAGGAGGGTGGACAGATGCAAACAAACAGCTTCCCATGTGGGTCATTGTATATTATTCACCCGGTACTATTATTTTATCGAAGCATTATGACATTACAAAAATTTGTTATGGCTCTCTTAGAGGTTTGAGAAACACAGTGCTATTTTTCCCATATGTTTTTTGCTCCGTAAGTTGTGCAAGTCATTGCTAGGACAGCTTTCAAGAACGTAACCCATGTGAATTGTGATTGTCCATTGTATGTAAACGGAAGACTGGCATAAATAAAGGATTTGTAAATATGGTACTGAGGATATCCAACCAAGAAATAACTTGAAATAATGAATTCAAATTGGATTGGTTTAGATTTAGAAAGGATGTAGGGAGGTACTGGTTCAGAAATAAAGTTGCCAGTAAGTGAAACAATTTGCCAAGTAGGGTTGTTGAAGCTAAAACCTTAGGTAGCTGTAAAAGTAGGTTAGACAAATATATTAGTAAGACGGGGTGGATTTGAATGGGGCCTGAATAGCATGTGTTAATAAAGTTATTGAAGCTTAACATTGGGTATCTTTAAGAATGGATTGAACAAATATTTTAGTAGTGTGGGAAAGTTGGATGTGATAACTACCTGCCATATATGGGCCAGTAGGCCTCCTGCAGTGTTCCTCCATGGAAAAATAAACACATAAGCAGTATAATGTGAGCCTTTATTGACAATGTTTTGCCCACACAGTAAGCTTTATCAAGTCACAGACTTGATAAGGCTCACTGTGTGGGCGAAATGTTGTAAATAAAGGATCACATTGTACTGCTTATGTGTTTATTTTTCATTGTGTTGGTATTTTATACCATTTATTTCCAGTGTTCCTCCATGCTTATTTTTTAGGTTCTCAAAAGAATGTATTACGGTAGATGCACAATGTAAGTGAAATCAATATAGTATACCTTAATTTTGTAACTCTGATGGCCACTTTTTTTTTTATTTTTGCATGGACCAATAGTCTATATTAACATTCGTGTGCAGTAATGTATATTTAAAATTTCAGATACGAACTTGCCAGTCTCTCCAGTTTTTAGAGTGGATACTGCTTATTGGAGGCTTATTATCAACATTTTTGACAATTGGCTTAGCAATCTATCGATTGTTCTTCTTATCACCTGGCGCATCGGACTATGTATTTGCTATGTTGCTGATCTTTCACTCTGGTAAGTACTGTAATGCATTCTATTGGTCATATTGTATTAAGGTTGCCTTCTGTAGAGCTGAATATGTTTTTGAATTTGAAATAAAACTGAAATTGTGAGCCATTTCTGGGAATACTGTAATTAAATCTTTCTTCAAATAATTTTTTCAACTTTTTAAAGGATATGCATAAGAATGTTCAGGGAGGAATATTGGTGAGTTTCCTGGGGGTTTGTACTGTTACCCAGCCATTATTAGGCTCACCTGTATATGTTTTTCTTAAGTACAGAAACCATACTACCCATCCCACCTCCAGGACTCAAGTCTGACTAACAGGTTTTCCTTAACCCTTTCAGGGTCCGTGCCGTAGATCTGCGGCTTTACGTTCAGGGTCCAAACCGTAGATCTACGTCATGAGCTCAGCTCACTCTGATAAGCTGTGAGCAGTAAATTTGGGCCTAGATATGAGAGAATACATCTATGTGGTATGTATGCACCACATAAAACAAATCCTGCAGCACACAGTGGATAATGAGAGAAAAAAATGAGACCGTAATTTTTTATTAAAACAGCGTCTTTGCAGTGTTTTTTCGTATGTTTTTTATAGTTGTATTTGCAATTTCTTGGTCTCATTTGATAGAATGGAAGATATACTACAGAAATAGAGAGGATTTTGATTGGTTTTAGTACTGGAAATGGCTTGAAACTGAGCTCAAAGTAGCAGAAATGTTAAATTTTTGCCAATGTTCAAGAGTAAACATATAACCTCACACATCTAATACACACCAGCTGGTGGGTGATATTATTTATACAATTATTACAGTATTGCATAACAGTAAATCTTCTATTTTTTGATTTGAATAAAAATTCATTATGTGAATAAAAAATCAAAATGGAATTCATTTGTAAAGCCTGAAAATGTAACTAATGAACATAGGAAATGTTAGTTTAGTGCCAGGAATGCCTGCATTGTTTTTCTGGACCCTATTTTGAATTGGAATATTTTGAACTTTGCGTTAAATTGGCTAAATTACCAATTTTCGGTCACTTTATTTTGTTGTTGAAACAGTTGACTTGGCGATTTCTTGTGCTCAATCGATAGAATAGAAGTAATACTAGTGAAATAGCTAAGAATTTGGTTTACTGGAATACTGTAATTGGCCTAAAATGGGAGTCAAAGTCGGCAAAATCGCCAATGCGTAAATATCGCCGACACATCAAAATTAGCTAGAGCATAATTTCGTCACTTTTTCATCAAATTTTGTAGTTTTTGTTTTATTACCTTCAGAAAATGATTCTCTACAATTTCATAAGAAAAAATAACAAAATTATTTTTTGAAAATTCTTGGAACCTGGTGCACACTTTGAAATTTGGCCTCTGGACCCTGGAAGGGTTAAATGCCTTCATAAACATTATCTTTCTCAACACTCCAACAGCACATCCATTAAAGACCACTTATCTCTACACACTCCAGTCTAACACTCACACAAACCTGTTGGATGCTGAAGCCCATAACACTCAAAACCTCCATTACCCCTTCCCTCCAACCTTCCTTGGGATGACCCCTGCCCCTCCTACTTTCTACCTCAGGTTTATATACCCTCGTCATCATCCTATCTCTCTCCATCCTCTCCACATGCACAAACCACCTCAGCATGTCCTCAGCCCTCTGAATTATACCCTTGTTGACTCTACACCATCATGTAATTTCAACATCTCTAATTCTTTGCAAAATATTCACACCACATATTTCTCTTGATCATGACATCTCCACAGCCTTTAGCCTTCTCGCTGCAACATCTACTTGAAATTTCACCATCAACTTGTCAGTAAATTTCCTCAGTTTATCCAAATCTGTCATCAATACCTAGGTTGGGAGACTACACACTCTCGGCTTTGCATCGGACACACTTGTCTTAGTCATGGGTATCTCATGGAGAGGCATCCTGTTCCACTTTGTGAGAATTGTCTAGTTCCTGTTTCAATTTTCCATATTTTATTGAACTGTCCTGTCTAACAATGAGCATGCAGAATTATCCTCCGACATCATCACCACTAATGCACTTACTTTATTTTCCCTTCTTGCTGACAGACCCACCTTTGACACAGACTCCCTCTTCGACTTTTTGACATAAACTGATTTATTACACAAACTTTGATAATCCTTCCTTTAGCACTCTCCACAGCCTCTCCTAACTTGACCTTTATTGTCATCTCCACCCTTATTTATCCATAGATCCTGCCTTAGTTCCTACCCTGCAGCTATGTATGACCCTGGTAGGTTTAGCGCTTCCTTTTGATTATAATAATAATAACAGGTAGTAGGTTGGTAGACAGCAACCACCCAGGGAGGTACTACCATCCTGCCAGGTGACTGTGAAACAGAAACCTGTAACTGTTTTACATGATGGTAATATTACTGGTGTCTTTTCTGTCTCATAAACATGCTGGATAACAGGTATATCTTGCTACTTCTACTTACACTTAGGTCACACGACACAGGCATGCACATGCATATATATACATACACATATCTAGGGTTTTTTCTTCTTTTTCTTAATAGCTCTTGTTCTTGTTTTTTTTTCTCTCTATTGTCCAAGGGGAAGTGGAAAAGAATCTTTCCCCCGTAAGCCATGCTTGTCGTATGAGGCGACTAAAATGCTGGGAGCAGTGGGCTAGTAACCCCTTCTCCTGTACACATTTACTAAAAATGAGAAGAGGAAAAACTTTATAAAACTGGGATGCTTGAATGTGCGTGGATGTAGTGCGGATAAGAAAGAGATGATTGCTGATGTTATGAATGAAAAGAAGTTAGATGCCCTGGCCCTAAGCGAAACAAAGCTGAAGGGGATAAACCATACCCCCGGCCGGGATTGAACCCGCGGTCATTACGATCGTGTCATTACGATTTCTTGAGTCCTGAAGGGGATAGGCGAGTTTCAGTTTGGGAGAAATAAGTGGGATTAAGTCAGGAGTATCTGAGAGAGTTAGAGCTCAGGAAGGGGTAGCGATAATGTTGAAGGGCCACTTATGGAAGGAGAAGAGGGAATATAAATGTGTAAATTCAAGGATTACGTGGATTAAAGTAAGGGTCGGATGTGAAAAGTGGGTCATAATAAGCATGTATGCACCTGGAGAAGAGAGGAGAGAGAGAGATTTTGGGAGATGTTAAGCGAATGTATAGGAACCTTTGAACCAAGTGAGAGAGCAGTTGTGGTAGGGGACCTAAATGCTAAAGTAGGAGAAACATTTAGAGAGGGTGTGATAGGCAAGTTTGGGGTGCCAGGTGTAAATGATAATGGGAGCCCTGTGATTGAAGTGTGTATGGAAAGGGGTTTAGTTATAGGTAATAGTACGTATTTTAAGAAAAAGAGGATAAATAAGTATACAAGATATGATGTAGGGCATAATGACAGTAGTTTGTTGGACTATGTATTGGTAGATAAAAGACTGTTGAGTAGACTTCAGGATGTACATGTGTATAGAGGGGCTACAGATATATCAGATCACTTTCTAGTTGTAGCTACAGTGAGGGTAAAAGGTAGATGGGATACAAGGAAAATAGAAGCAGTAAGTAAGAGAGAGATGAAGGTGTATAAACTAAAAGAGGAGGCAGTTAGGGTAAGATATAAACAACTATAGGAGGATAGATGGGCTAGTGAGAGTATAGGCAATGGGGTCGAAGATGTATGGGGTAGTTTTAAGAATGTAGTGTTAGTGTTTTCAGCAGAAGTTTGTGGTTGCAGAAAAGTAGGTGCGGGAGGGAAGAAGAGCAATTGGTGGAATGATGATGTAAAGAGGGTAGTAAGCAACTTTTGTTAGCATATGAGAGGTTTTTACAAAGTAGAAGTGATGCAAGAAGGGAAAAGTATATGGAGGGAAAAAGAGAGATTAAGAGAGTGGTGAAGCAATCTAGAAAGAGAGCAAATGAGAGAGTGGGTGAGATGTTATCAACAAATTTTGTTGAAAATAAGAAAAAGTTTTGGAGTGAGATTAATAAGTTGAGGGAGCCTAGAGAACAAATGGATTTGACAGTTAAAAATAGGAGAGGAGAGTTATTCAATGGAGAGTTAGAGGTATCGGGAAGATGGAGGGAATATTTTGAGGAATTGTTAAATGTTGATGAAGATAGGGAAGCTGTGATTTCGTGTATAGGGGAAGGAGGAATAACATCTTGTAGGAGTGAGGAAGAGCCAGTTGTGAGTGTGGGGGAAGTTCGTGAGGCAGTGGGTAGAATGAAAGGGGGTAAGGCAGCTGGGATTGATGGGATAAAGATAGAAATGTTAAAAGCAGGTGGGGATGTAGTTTTACAGTGGTTGGTGCTATTATTTAATAAATGTATGGAAGAGGGCAAGATACCTAGGGATTGGCAGAGAGCATGCATAGTTCCTTTCTATAAAGACAAAGGGGATAAAAGAGAGTGCAAAAATTATAGGTGAATAAGTCTGTTGAGTATACCTGGTAAAGTGTATGGTAGAGTTATTGAAAGAATTAAGAATAAGATGGAGAGTAGGATAGCAGATGAACAAGGAGGCTTTAGGAAAGGTAGGGGGTGTGTAGACCAAGTGTTTACAGTGAAACATATAGGTGAACAGTATTTAGATAAGGGTAAAGAGGTTTTTGTGGCATTTATGGATTTGGAAAAGGCATGTGACAAGGTGGATAGGGAGGGGGGCAATGTCACGTGCATGGTATAGGAGGTAGGTTACTGAAAGCAGTGAAGAGTTTTTACGAGGATAGTGAGGCTCAGGTTAGAGTATGTAGGAGAGAGGGAGATTATTTCCCAGTAAAAGTAGGCCTTAGACAAGGATGTGTGATGTCACTGTGGTTGTTCAGTATATATATAGATGGGGTTGTAAGAGAAGTGAATGTGAGGGTCTTGGCAAGGAGTGTGGAGTTAAAAGATAAAGAATCAAACACAAAGTGGGAGTTGTCACAGATTCTCTTTGCTGATGACACTGTACTTTTGGGAGATTCTGAAGAGAAGTTGCAGAGGTTGGTGGATGAATTTGGTAGGGTATGTAAGAGAAGAAAATTAAAAGTGAATATACGAAAGAGTAAGGTTATGAGGATAACAAAAAGATTAGGTGACAAAAGATTGGATATCGGATTGGAGGGAGAGAGTATGGAGGAGGTGAATGTATTCAGATATTTAGGAGTGGGCGTGTCAGCAGATGGGTCTGTGAAGGATGGGGTGAATCATAGAATTGATGAGGGGAAAAGGGTGAGTGGTGCACTTAGGAGTCTGTGGAGACAAAGAACTTTGTCCGTGGAAGCAAAGAGGGGAATGTATGAGAGTATAGTTGTACCAACACTCTTGTATGGGTGTGAAGCATGGGTGATGAATGTTGCAACGAGGAGAAGGCTGGAGGCAATGGAGATGTCATGTCTGAGGACAATGTGTGGTGTGAATATAATGCAGAGAATTCATAGTTTGGAAATTAGGAGAAGGTGTGGGATTACCAAAACTATTATCCAGAGGGCTGAGGAGGGGTTGTTGAGGTGGTTCGGACATGTAGAGAGAATGGAACAAAACAGAATGACTTCAAGTGTGTATAAATCTGTAGTGGAGGGAAGGCGGGGTAGGGGTCTTCCTAGAAAGGGTTGGAGGGAGGGGGTAAAGGAGGTTTTGTGTGCGAGAGGCTTGGACTTCCAGCAAGCATGTATGAGCGTATTTGATAGGAGTGAATGGAGACAAATGGTTTTTAATACTTGATGTGCTGTTGGAGCATGAGCAAAGTAACATTTATGAAGGGATTCAGGGAAACCGGCAGGCCAGACTTGAGTCCGGCAGATGGGAAGTACGTACAGTGTCTACACTCTGAAGGAAGGGTGCTAATGTTGCAGTTTTATAACTGTAGCATTAAGCACCCCTCTGGCAAGACAGTGATGGAGTGAATGATGATGAAAGTTTTTCTTTTTCGGGCCACCCTGCCTTGGTGGGAATCAAAGTTTTTCTTTTTCGGGCCACCCTGCCTTGGTGGGAATCAGCCAATGTGTTAATAAATAAATGAAAAATAATAATTGGAAGGACATATAATTATTTTAATTTTATTCTATACATAAGATTTTTACACTATCTGTATTCATATATACACAGGTATTTATATACAGAGAAATAGTTCAGTTGTGTGTTACAATGCTCTAAGCATTTCTGGAAATCACTTTTATTTTATAGTGGTGAGTATTATCACATTAATATTATTAGACATTTTTTCCATCTGCAGCCTTCTGCATAATTTACATCTTAGATGGAGTGTTTCGGGAACAGGCATTTGAGATAGTGGCATTCGTGGCATCATGTGTCATCCTGATTGTCTACGTTGTGATCAACTTTGTTAAAGATTCTACCTCCACATCGGATATATTCAAATTGGTATTTATATACGGCAGCATTTTAATTAATTTTTCACAGTAGAAAATTTAGTCACCTTAGACTATCTTAGATTTTATATAAGCAAAAATTTGTATTAATTTTTTTAATATTTATTGTATATGTATTCTGATTATTATGTTTTGGGTAAATTATTATTATATGGAGGGGAGGCACTAAAGCAGTAGGGGAAATGCAGTGCCTGGGGCAATCAAGTTTAATCCAAAAAAAGAAGGGTAGTTCCAGTTTCTTAAATAACAAATAAATAATGTGTAATGTGTCCAGTTTCTTCGATCAAGAGCTCCTTACTGGTATTATGGCACCCCTCCTGTTCCTGTTTGATTCATTAGCATAGTCCCAGCCTGGGTCTTGTCCACATGGTGACTCCTCTTTGAAGAGTCTTTTGGGTAGAAGGTAGCTTGAGTTGCTGGAAAGTAGAATATTAGAAAGAATTGGTACATATTGTACTTTACTCCTATTATTAATATGAAAAGTTTGTTGATATTTAATTCACCCATTTTCATTTGTTTGGTATTCTAGATTGGTTTATAATTCACTCGAGGTATTAACATGAACTAAGTAAGGATTTGAGTGACCTGTTTTCACTTGTTTAGTACTGTACTCTAGATGCATTTTCCTATGGGTTTCTTTGAAATCTATAATGCAGTACAATACCTTTATATAAACAAAATACAGAAAACCAGCAAGTTCTGCAACTTACAAATAAGATGTGTTCCTGGATTTCAACATTCCAACAATTTATTTGTATAGAATACAGTAGTACAAACAATGATTATGTTTCGGTGATTTTTGTACTGTATCTCAGTGGTTGTGAAACCTTACCGCTGTACACAAATAACCTGCACTTAGAAGAATGAATCTTATGACAATGCTTTGGTCCAACTTGGACCATTAAGTAGTCACACTGAAGTGAAGAGGGAAGGAGGCCAGCATATAAATGAGAAAGGGGTGGGGGAAAGGAGTGGTAGAATGGGAGGAGGGAGTAACAGTAGCATTATTAATTGAACCATAACGTCATCATAGGTCTCACTCTCCTAAGTGTGGGTTATTTGTGTAACGCTCCAGCCACAAAATTGTGATTTTATATTCTTTACCATAATTGGTTGTAAGTGCCCTGGTTATATGTTGAAATGTGTGTAACTTAAAGAGTTTGTAAATTCTGAAAGTCCTGTATTGTAATATATATTTTTGTTTGTTATTCTGTTATTATGCATGTATATAATGTAGTATTTTGCTTTATCTAAAATTCTATCCATATGATGGTAGTAGTCATAAGGCTGGTCATTTTTATATTTTATTATGCACAGTATTGTTTACTGTGTGGTATCCCATTGTATTAATGTTTTAATTGGTAATAAAAGGGCACTAGCAGATTTTCATTTCTCGAATTATAACTTGTGTCAGTGGGAAAATAGGGTTTGCTTAGTGTAAAGTTTGCTTAATAACTGTTTTTCACATTAATGTATCCAAGTCCCTAAGCATTGGATAGCTACAGTTTCCTCATCATTTGGCAATACTAATCCCATTGGGTTTAATAACAAATTCCCTTCATTTTTTGTTGTAATTGTATATGGTACTCAAACCATTTTTAAGATTTATAAGTTAATAGGAATATACAGAGAGAATCACGTGCCTTTAACATGAAATTGATGGCTTTCTTCTGACCTGCAGGTTCGTCTTGTATTCACTCTAGTTTTTGGTACTAGTATGGGAGGAGTTGGACTGGTCCTCGGATACAGTTATTGGCAGTCTCAGAACCTCATCTTCAGAACTGTGGGTGCAGATAGTACTATCCAAACTATGTGTAGATCCCTCTTCACTGCCATTACCCTCATTCTCTTTGACACTCAGATAGTGGTAAGTTGATGCAAGAATTCTTAATGAAAACACATTATGGGTTTTATCTGCCAATATTTTATATACATAAACCATATACAGTGGAACTCCGGTTTTTGTACGGTCTGCAGATTGTACAATTTAGATTTAGAAAACTTTTTGGGGCGAAATTTTGGTCTGGATTTCGTACCTCCATCTGGAAATCGTACATATCAGACATGTCCGCCCGCCTGGGACGCCGCCACGTATGTGTCTCAATCTGTCTCTGTCACTGGTTGAGTGAGCATTCATCCGAAACATTTCGCAATTTTTGTGCTTGTTTATTGATTGCAACTGTGAAATAAGCCACCATGGTGAGAAAACAATAGAATTCAAGAAAGAGATTGTAGAGAAATACAAAAGTGGCGTACGTTTAGCCAAGCTTGAAATATCTGCAACATGTTCAGTGACAATACCTTGTCCCATTTTAGGCAAATCTTAAAGAGACGCCAGAAACAGAGCTTTCTGGACAGATTTTTAGTGCGACAGGTGTCCAGTGCCACTAAAAGACAAAGAAGAGAAGTAACCCCAGAGAGGGCTTTGATACCTGAAGTCCTTATGGAGGAGGATTTCCTTTCCAAACAATAACCTCAACTCCCTCTTCCCGCCTCACCTGCTTCAATACACCAACAAGAGTCTTCACTAAAGGTATGTAATGTTCATTTATCATTAACCCCTTCAGGGTCACCAAAATTTAAAAAAAAAAAAAAAATTTTCTTATGAAAAGATAGTTTTTTTTTTTTTTACATCTTATAGGCTAAACAAAAATTTTTTACCATCAATACTTACTGAGATATGGAGGCGTGAAGTTGACAGAAAATGCCCGGTATATGGTAACATCGCCGACTGCCGGTCACCCGGTATTACTTTATTTATTTTTTTAGGTACTATTTTCTATTATTTTTTAATTTTTTTTTTCAAGTAACTTTTATGGCCTGTGAGACCAATATGAGCACTATTTTATAAGTTATTTCTTTTTCTATACTACACAATAACTGCATAAACACTTATCACTGTTTTGTTTACAGAAAATATTTACACAAACAAACAATATGAAATGTTGTTTATTACTATTTTTCTATATTTTATATACACATATACAGTCACAGGGAATGTTTCTAGAAGTTCTACAGCCTGTGGAAGTCTTTGAAACATGGTGTCATGCGCAGTGGTGTTTTACACTCCTCACACACAAAACAAGTGTCTCTGCGTTATTGTGGGCGTTTTTTTTTTGTATGTGCACAGACATTACATCTCTTCTGAGCCTTTTTCTTGAAAGCAGTAGCAGGCAGTTTTATTAGGAAGTGATCACCATGCTTCAGACAAGAAGGTAGTTGTTGATAATTTAGTGGGCGGTCTATTGCAGTGTTGTTTCTTGGTACTTGAATACTATTTGTCTGATGACAGACAAACAGAATTTGCCATATGGTGGTTTGTTTCTGGTCCTCATCTTATACATATTATAAGCATTGAGCATGGAAATGTCCAGAAGATGGAAAAAGAGTTTTATGTACCACTTATAACTCTTGCAAACACAATCAGCAAACCCAATCTGCATGTCACATTTGTCCACTGAGTGCATATTGAGGGTGTAATCAATCACAGCTGCAGGTTTTAGAATGGGTTCATTGCTGTCTCTATGGTGCCTGCCAGTGTTTGTCATTTCGTTAGGGTGAACTGATGACAACAGTGTGACATCTTGTTTGTCATGCCACCGAAATGCCATGATGTCATCGGCAGCAAACGCCTGCACCTCACCTCTACGAGCACCAGCATCAAACCTGGGCATATGTTTACGATTTGCACGCACTGTGCCACACACATCTGTCATGTTCACTCGCAAAAAATCACTGAGTGAGAGGCTTGTGTACCAGTTATCAGTATATAATATATGCCCCATACCAAGGTATGGTTCTATCATTGTTCTAACCACATCACCAGAGATGCCCAATAACTTCCTAGTATTTTGCAATGTATAACTTCCAGTGTACACAATAATATCCAATACAAGACCACTGTAGCAATCACAAAGCACAAACAACTTTATACCAAAGCGTTTCTTCTTGCTTGGTATGTACTGCTCGAAAGAGAATCTTCCTTTGAACAGAATCAAAGACTCGTCAATTACAAGCTTCCTGAAGGGATAAAAATACATATTGAATTTCTCTTTCAGATACACAAACACATTCCTAATCTTATATAACCTGTCATTTCTGTCAGGCCTGATTTTGTCTGAGAAGTGAAGCATACGTAATAGTAGCACAAATCGATTCACTCCCATTATATCACTGAAACCTGGGGTTGCAATCAGGCGGTCTGTTGACCAGTATGATTTCACACTGTGCTTATACACATGTGGCATAAGCATTATTGTGGCAAAGAAAAGATACATCTCAGCCACAGTTGTCTCCTTCCACTTGTGCAGACGTGATTTTGGTGAAAGTATTGTGTTTGCCATGGTGTACTCGTAATATCTGTTGCTTTCCCTGACAATAATTTCCATGAGGGGTTTGTCAAAGAATAACTCAAAACATTCCAGTTCACTGGCATTGTTCCCCAGTGTACAACATGGCCGTATTCCACTTTGGCTTTCATCAAACTGGTGGGGATTTGGAACAAAATTGACAGCTTCCTGCCAATCCCAGGTGCAGTCTGCTGGTGGGTACTGGACATTGACAGGTGGTTGTGGTTGTGGAGGCTGGTGTGGTGGGTGGGTGGGGGATGGTGGCCTTTGCTGTAGATCAGCTGAGGCAGCAGCGTGGGTGGCAGCGTGGGTGGCAGCATGGCCCACTACTGGTGCCTCACGGCCGGCACCACCACTACCACCACCATGCACATTTTCCATCCCAATTGCAACACTATCATCGTCATTTTCACTGTCTGTTCCTGTTGTACAGCCACGGGATGTACTCCAAGATATACTCCTTTCCCTTGGAATAGCACATGGCACACTACCAGAGCGCATATATCGTCGTATATACTGACGCTTCACTGGAGAATATTCCACTTCATTATCACTACTGGAACTGGTTTCAAAAGCTTGTAGTTCATATTCACTATCACTATCATCACCAATGCTCACATCTGAGTCCGGGATTTGGGAAAATAGGAGTTTCCTCTTTGATTCTGGTACAACTGAACGTGAACAAGACAGCCCAGCAGCAGAGGTGGAAGGCTGAGGGTTGTCTGGGTTTTCCTCACTATTACCGATATTATGGTCATTAGTTTCGGTCACAACCTCACCAAAACCTTGAAACTCATCTTCACTGGCACTTCCATCTATATTAGAACTGTCACTGGGGAACAAAAGTGTCCCAATTTGCCGAGGAGTGAGGAGCTTCTTACCGCGAGGCATGGTGAACAAGGTCTACTAAAATGGCGTTCCCACAATGCGCCACTGGGTCCGAGATTTTTTTTCTACCGCGCACACCGACCACACACACCCATTCTCTCACTCTAGGCCTACCAGGCTTTTCCCGTCAAAAACCCTGGTGCGTAAGCCGTACTAGTACGTCCGAAACCCTGAAAGGGTTAAAATTAGTCATTTATATTTGTTTCTCATTGTTTTCTGTATGTAAAACTATAGTTATTCTTTAAAAAATGTATTTTTTTGTTAATATTTTGGGTGTCTGGAACAGATTAATTGTATTTACATTATTTCTTATGGGAAATATTAATTTGGTTTTCATACATTTTGGAATAAGAACGACCTTCTGGAACGGATTAAGTACAAAAACCAGAGTTCCACTGTATTAGTTTAGTATTAATATTATATTTAAAAAAGTAAACCCCTTCTCCTGTATAAATTACTGAATGTAAAAAAAGAAAAGCTTTAGTTTTCTCTTTTGGATCATCCTTTCTTGGTGGGAGATGGCTGGAATGTTGAAAAAAAAAAATTAAATAAGTGCTTTAATGTCTTTAACAACATTAGGGAAATATTCCAGAGATCTTTGGCCACTGAATATGTATTTAATAATACTGGTGATATTTAGGTAAATTACTTGAAAGTAATGTTATAAAAATATAATAAATTTACATCATTGTTGTATTTTGCAATATGTAGTTTAAGATTCAGCTTTCATTAGCTTTAGTGTGTTTTTTCCTGTCATGGCATTGTACTTTTATCATATACTAATCCTAGTTTTAGTTATTAAAAAAATTTTTTTGCTTAATCTTTTTAAAACAAATTATAATCTTTGTATAATCTTTGCAAATGTAAATTTTTATTATGTATAATACGTATTGCTTTTAAAACAGAAATTTGTATAGAATGTTAGAGATATTGCAGTAGAACTTTTCTCATTATGATTTTTTTCCCAGGGTAGCGTAGTCATCATGGCACTTCACCATGGTATTACACAGCTTCAGCTTGAGGAGGTGCTAACCCTCAGTATGGGTTTTCCAATGTTAACAGCTTGGGGAGTCATTGCATACCTGGCGGTGAGTTTTTGTTCTTTATTCTGTGCACATCTTAGTACAGCAAATGTTTATTAATGCACTGTATTACATTGTAGGTCACCATGCATTATCTAAAGGTTGCACATATACCTTTGTTGTTCAATGCACAAAATAGCACAGAAAAGAAAAATGATTGCAAATGTTTCATGTTGACATTATTGAAAAATTTCTGTACAGTATACATAAGTACATTATATATTACGTGATAAATATATAGATGTATAAGACGAAGAAACATACACAGCAAGGCAATTATGTTTTGACTTGAATGTGGTGGTCAGATAACAGGACTGGTGCCTCAAGAGTTGTTTGTAATTATCCTGTTAGACATTTGCTAGTTACAACTAAGGTTGTCTTTAGCCTCCTATTTATCAAATGTTAACTTTTGTTTCAAGAGAGTCTTGGTAGCTTATAGCTAGCACTTAACTATCATAAATTAGTTTTAATATAGCCTCATGAGCAGCAATATACAAGTGTAGCATGGGCATTAGGATATGCCATAATAAAATTAATGTTTTTTACAAATACTGAAAATAATAAGACAGTACTGGTGCTTAATTATAATGTGCAAGTATATAAATTCTAGGTAGTAGGTTGGTAGACAGCAACCGCCCAGGGAGGTACTACCGTCCTGCCAAGTGAGTGTAAAACGAAAGCCTGTAATTGTTTTACATGATGGTAGGATTGCTGGTGTCTTTTGTCTGTCTCATAAATATGCAAGATTTCAGGTATGTCTTGCTGCTTCTACTTACGCTTAGGTCACACTACACATATATGTACAAGCATATAGTATATACACACCCCTCTGGGTTTTCTTCTATTTTCTTACTAGTTTTTGTTCTTGTTTATTTCCTCTTACCTCCATGGGGAAGTGGAACAGAATTCTTCCTCCGTAAGCCATGCGTGTTGTAAGAGGCGACTAAAATGCCAGGAGCAAGGGGCTAGTAACCACTTCTTCTGTATATATTACTAAATGTAAAAGGAGAAACTTTAGTGTTTCCTTTTGGGCCACCCCTCGGTGGGATACGGCTGGTGTGTCGAAAGAAAGAAAGAAAGAAGTATATAAATTTTTTATACAGACAAGAAAGCAAATACAGTATAGTACTGTATCATAATTAAGTTCACAAGGAAGTGCTAAACTCAAATGGGTCTTGAACTGCCACATAGCAGGAATGAGGTAAGTGTGTACATAAAGTCAATATTGTTCAAAAAATTATAGCAGCAATCTGCACTGAAAATGAATTACAAAGGTGAAACAAAGAGATTAACCGTAAACGGTCCAAACGTATGTATACGTTCTTACCGCTAGCGCCCCAAACGTATATATACATTTTATTTTTCCTGCCTCCAAATTTGGCACGATTGGCCTGAGATGCATGGTCAGTATAGAATGGGTCTTAACACTCAGTGTGCACCATATTAAAAAAATCTGGAACCACTTAGTACCTTGTGGGAGCACCAGTTATATTGAGCGCTAGCTAGAGCAAACAGTGCGGCAAACACCAAGGATTCAATGATTTTTTTATTATTATTATCACACTGGCCAATTCCCACCAAGGCAGGGTGGCCCGAAAAAGAAAAACTTTCACCATCATTCACTCCATCACTGTCTTGCCAGAAGGGTGCTTTACACTACAGTTTTTAAACTGCAACATTAACACCCCTCCTTCAGAGTGCAGGCACTGTACTTCCCATCTCCAGGACTCAAGTCCGGCCTGCCGGTTTCCCTGAATCCCTTCATAAATGTTACTTTGCTCACACTCCAACAGCACGTCAAGTATTAAAAACCATTTGTCTCCATTCACTCCTATCAAACACGCTCACCCATGCCTGCTGGAAGTCCAAGCCCCTCGCACACAAAACCTCCTTTACCCCCTTTCCTCCAACCTTTCCTAGGCCGACCCCTACCCCGCCTTCCTTCCACTACAGACTGATACACTCTTGAAGTCATTCTGTTTCGCTCCATTCTCTCTACATGTCCGAACCACCTCAACAACCCTTCCTCAGCCCTCTGGACAACAGTTTTGGTAATCCCGCACCTCCTCCTAACTTCCAAACTACGAATTCTCTGCATTATATTCACACCACACATTGCCCTCAGACATGACATCTCCACTGCCTCCAGCCTTCTCCTCGCTGCAACATTCATCACCCACGCTTCACACCCATATAAGAGCGTTGGTAAAACTATACTCTCATACATTCCCCTCTTTGCCTCCAAGGACAAAGTTCTTTGTCTCCACAGACTCCTAAGTGCACCACTCACTCTTTTTCCCTCATCAATTCTATGATTCACCTCATCTTTCATAGACCCATCCGCTGACACGTCCACTCCCAAATATCTGAATACGTTCACCTCCTCCATACTCTCTCCCTCCAATCTGATATTCAATCTTTCATCACCTAATCTTTTTGTTATCCTCATAACCTTACTCTTTCCTGTATTCACCTTTAATTTTCTTCTTTTGCACACCCTACCAAATTCATCCACCAATCTCTGCAACTTCTCTTCAGAATCTCCCAAGAGCACAGTGTCATCAGCAAAGAGCAGCTGTGACGACTCCCACTTTGTGTGTGATTCTTTATCTTTTAACTCCACGCCTCTTGCCAAGACCCTCGCATTTACTTCTCTTACAACCCCATCTATAAATATATTAAACAACCACGGTGACATCACACATCCTTGTCTAAGGCCTACTTTTACTGGGAAAAAATTTCCCTCTTTCCTACATACTCTAACTTGAGCCTCACTATCCTCGTAAAAACTCTTCACTGCTTTCAGTAACCTACCTCCTACACCATACACTTGCAACATCTGTCACATTGCTTCCCTATCCACCCTGTCATACGCCTTTTCCAAATCCATAAATGCCACAAAAACCTCTTTAGCCTTATCTAATACTGTTCACTTATATGTTTCACTGTAAACACCTGGTCCACACACCCCCTACCTTTCCTAAAGCCTCCTTGTTCATCTGCTATCCTATTCTCCGTCTTACTCTTAATTCTTTCAATTATAACTCTACCATACACTTTACCAGGTATACTCAACAGACTTATCCCCCTATATAATTTTTGCACTCTCTTTTATCCCCTTTGCCTTTATACAAAGGAACTATGCATGCTCTCTGCCAATCCCTAGGTACCTTACCCTCTTCCATACATTTATTAAATAATTGCACCAACTACTCCAAAACTATATCCCCACCTGCTTTTAACATTTCTATCTTTATCCCATCAATCCCGGCTGCCTTACCCCCTTTCATTTTACCTACTGCCTCACGAACTTCCCCCACACTCACAACTGGCTCTTCCTCACTCCTACAAGATGTTATTCCTCCTTGCCCTATACACGAAATCACAGCTTCCCTATCTTCATCAACATTTAACAATTCCTCAAAATATTCCCTCCATCTTCCCAATACCTCTAACTCTCCATTTAATAACTCTCCTCTCCTATTTTTAACTGACAAATCCATTTGTTCTCTAGGCTTCCTTAACTTGTTAATCTCACTCCAAAACTTTTTCTTATTTTCAACAAAATTTGTTGATAACATCTCACCCACTCTCTCATTTGCTCTCTTTTTACATTGCTTCACCACTCTCTTAACCTCTCTCTTTTTCTCCATATACTCTTCCCTCCTTGCATCACTTCTACTTTGTAAAAACTTCTCATATGCTAACTTTTTCTCCCTTACTACTCTCTTTACATCATCATTCCACCAATTGCTCCTCTTCCCTCCTGCACCCACTTTCCTGTAACCACAAACTTCTGCTGAACACTCTAACACTACATTTTTAAACCTACCCCATACCTCTTCGACCCCATTGCCTATGCTCTCATTAGCCCATCTATCCTCCAATAGCTGTTTATATCTTACCCTAACTGCCTCCTCTTTTAGTTTATAAACCTTCACCTCTCTCTTCCCTGATGCTTCTATTCTCCTTGTATCCCATCTACCTTTTACTCTCAGTGTAGCTACAACTAGAAAGTGATCTGATATATCTGTGGCCCCTCTATAAACATGTACATCCTGAAGTCTACTCAACAGTCTTTTATCTACCAATACATAATCCAACAAACTACTGTCATTTCGCCCTACATCATATCTTGTATATACTTATTTATCCTCTTTTTCTTAAAATATGTATTACCTATAACTAAACCCCTTTCTATGTTGATTCAATGATGTAATATCATATTAATACTTCCCTTTTGAGAGGAAAGTGATGTTAACCCCCAAGTTTAGGGTCTATCTATCTGTCTCTGTTTCTGTCTATCTCTGTCTATCTGTCCCTCTCTCTTTTTATCTGTCTCACAGGTACACACAAATACAATTATACATAGTGTAAATTACCTAGGATAACCTAAAAAATCCGAAGTGCTATACTGTACTTGTAGATATAATCCATAAGAATACCTGTTGGTTCACAGTGGCTCTCTCTGATACAGACAGAAAGACAGAGAGACAGAAAGAGACAAGCAGACAGAGACAAGACAGAGAGACAGATAATCAGAGATATGAGCTCATCAAATGTGATCCCTTATCTCTGCACCCTGGCTGGCACCCATTAAATATCATAGCTTATCTCATCTTTGCACTATCTCATCTTATCTCTGCACCCTCGCTGGCGCCCATCAAACGTCATCTCATATCTCATCTTATCACTGCTCTCCCGGATGCTTGTCACTGACACTTGTCTTGCACATTACTTCAAGGGAACTTCTTCCTTCCTCCTCCTCCTCCTTCCTTCTTCCTCTTCTATACTCCCGTGTATCCAAAACATTGCTGAGACCTATAAATACCTTGTATATATTCCTAGACAATAGTAAATGACCAAGGCAGGTGTAAATGTCCACCTGTCAGTGTGTTTGTGACAATTTGAGTACAATTTCAGTACCTAATATTAGTGTCAGAACAAAGATTGGTTATGAAATGACAAGAACTACAATAAATTGTAATTATCAGAACATAAAAATTATATAAAATAATATAAAAAAGAGAAAAAATGGTATATCGGGAACACTTCTGCAAGCGGCAGGACTCGATGATGCCGTCAGGTGAGCATTAAGTGCCAACTTTGCAGCCTCAAATCTCAGTAAGTACTGACCCTAATTTTTTTTATTTTAATCCTATAACACTTAGAAAAATGTGCTCTTTATTTTTATTTAAAAATATGATTTTTTTATTTTTCAAAATATTCGGGGCACTGGGGTAGTGAACGTATATACAGTGGTCCCTCAATTATTGTCCATAATCCGTTCCTGGAAGTGGGACTATTATCGAAATAGACGATTTTCGAATCAGTTTTCCCCATAAGAAATACAGTGGACCCCCGGTTAACGATATTTTTTCATTCCAGAAGTATGTTCAGGTGCCACTACTGACCGAATTTGTTCCCATAAGGAATATTGTGAAGTAGATTAGTCCATTTCAGACCCCCAAACATACACGTACAAATGCACTTACATAATTGGTCGTATTGGGAGGTGATCGTTAAGTGGGGGTCCACTGTAATGTAAATACAATTAATCCGTTCCTGACACCCAGAAGTATTAAAACAAAAAAATTTTTTACATGAAATATAGATGTAGTACATAAACAACACAATGGCACATGATGAATGAAACATTAACAGCATAATACTTACCTTTATTGGCAATTATTCTTAGTGTATGGAAGACTGGAGGAGGAGAGACATTGAATTACTGTTTGGAAGGGAAATCCCCTTCCATCAACACCTCAGGTACCAAGTGCTTTTCTGGGGTTACTTCTCTTCTCTGTTTCTTAATGCCACTAGGACCAGCTTGAGAGTCACTGGAGTCCTGTCTCACAAAAAAACTGTCCAGAGAGCTCTGTTTCTGGCGTCTCTTTAAAACTTCCCTGAAATGGGCCAAGACTGTCACTGTACAAGTTGCCAATATGGCTTGCAACATCCTTCTCAGGGTGATGTTTTTCCATAAATCTTTCCATCCTACCCCACATTTCAAAAATCTCCTTAATTTCTGAAGAAGGCACCTTCTTCCGTCTCTCTCCCTCCTCCTCTGCAGCAAGATTCTGAGCTGCGATCTGTTGCTCTTCCTGCTGAAACTCTTTCTCCTTTCATATTGTTCAATGATGTTTTTTCCTAAATTCAATCGTATTTCTCACCTTCTTTACCAAAGGTTTGGCACTAGGAGCTTTCTTTGGAGCCATGGTAGCTTATTTAGCACTTGCAAGCACTAAAATGAATGGAATATTATGAAATATTTCGTATGAACACGTGAGGGGACCGTCGCTCACTGGTAAACAATGGCACACTGGCTGGGAACGGCTCAGAGCCATGAGTACGCATCCAGGATGAAAGACGATTAGCGAGTTAACGGACCATTTGCGAGCCAATGTTTAGACGAAATAACGGGGCTATTTCCGAAATGGACGACTTTCAGGCCGGACGATTATTGAGGGGCCACTGTATATGTTTGGACCTTTTATGGGTTAATTAAAAGTTTTATTAATGTTAATTATAAAATAAATGTAAGTCTTTTTACCAGTAATGTATTAATTGATACATATATATACAAGGATAATGTAAGTATTTTTTTATAGGCTAGCTAGAAAGAGATTAACACAGGTTAATTTCTAAGTAAATTTGTAAAGTTACACTTGTGGATGATTAATGAAATTAATTAAACATTGAACTAGGGTGTGTACCTGCCTAGATAAAAATGAATATCTTTTATTACATATATTTACTATATAAAGTACAAGATAGTTTTGCTTTGGAAAAATACAACTTTGTCTTTTACTTTTTGATTTCCTCTTCTTGGACCAATAATTTTTTCCAATAGTTACGGCTGGAGAGCGGCTACTTCTTCTCTGTTGCAATGATGTTGAGCCCTTGTCATATAGCATTTGCTTTACTTGCCATAATACAGGTAAGTGTTTATAATTGTTTAGTGTGCTTGGAAATGGATGGCTGGATAGATAATTAGATTGGAGAGTTGACACAGTGCTTATTCAGTGGTGTCTGTAACGGTAAAAATAGCGAGATGCTCAGTGAGAAGGTAGAGGTAGTATAAGGATGGAGAAAATGTTTGAGCAAATTACTGAATGTTGATACAATGTTAGGTAGAAATTTTGTGCATGTAAGATCGCTATACACTTACCTTCATTTATCAGTGTATTTCTTAATACTTGTTATTCATGATTAGGCTGTGAGGGGATAATCCCAAAAAACATTAAGAAATGTGTATAAAATTGACAATTATGAAATGGGGAGCAATAAAACCTATTAGAATGAATGAAGAGTCAGGAGCTAGAGATGCAATACAAACATTGAAAGAGGGAAGTAGCAAAGGTGGATGGAATTAGGAATGAAGTGCTGAAAGCCATGGAGATTGCAAGTCATGGGTAACAAGGCATAAGCTACTCAGTTATCCATACATACAATTGTCTCGGAGTTACGATGTACTGGGGTTACGATAATTTTGAGTTACGATTTGCCCTCATAAGGAATTTAGTTTTGAGCTGCAATGAAAAATTTGAGATAAGATACACATTTATGATTTAATTATGCCATCTTTTGTGCTACAAGTCATCATGACCCCTAAAGTGCACAGTCAACAGGCAATTTCTTTGAAGATCAAATAAGAAATTGTGAAAAAAAAACATGGTGCAGGAGTTAGAATTAGTGTATTGGTGCATAAGTATGGCTTTCCACAATCAACCATCCTTACTGTTATCAAGCGATAAAAGATACTGTAAAGGATATGGAAGTGGCTGATGAATCTAGGCTAATGAAAAAGGGCAGAGAAATTAGCATAGAGATGGAAAGACTGTTGTTATTATGGATAAGACAGCAGTAGATGAAGGAAGATACAGTGCCTGCAAATTATATCTGAGTTCAAGGTATAGTAAAAGTTGCACTTTTGGGGCTTTAGAACGAATTACCATAAAAGCATGTACATGTGGTATTTTGTGATTTGAGTTACAATAGTTTTGAAGTACGATACATCTTCTGGAACAGATTAATATTGTAACTCCAGGGACCATTATATTTCTAATAGCTGCTATACTGGAAGAACTAGCATTTTTAATTTGCCTTATCATTTTGAATTTTTTTTTTTTTTTTTTTAACTCAGACTGCACTGAACCATGGATCAAGCCTAATTGCTGAATGCCGGTATGCAGCCAGTGCAGGAAGTATTATAGTACATATACTCTTGATTGTTCTTATGGTCAAATGTTATCGGAACTTTGGACTAGGACTAAAAGAAAAAGGTAAGGCTTACCATGTTATTATACTACTGTTGCAGCGCTGTATAGTCCTTGTGGCTTAGCGCTTCTTTTTGATTATAATAATAATATACTACTGTACTTTTGTCTTATTGTACACCTTTGCCTGGAACCATTTGTTAGTAATATAAACAACTATTAGTAATGTAAATATGCACTTGGCATAAAACAGTGCAGGCAGAACATGTAACAAAATTTCATGTAGACTTCTTAATTTGAAGTTAATAATTGAAGCTTTTCACCTGGTTCAGGAATTAAGCAGCAGTCTGCAAGCCCCATTACATGTACTGTACCATATTAGTTTTAACCCCTTTATATGATATGTTATTTCATGCTTTTTTCTTTTTTCCTAAATTTTGATTTCTCATTTTTTTTTTTCAGAAAAGGTGTAAACAGATAATCATTTTTCTTTTGTCAAAACCTTCCAGATGTTGACTGTATAAATATGTATAAGGATGAACCTGCTAGTAGTTGTTATCTTACACTTATCTACTAATAATTCTATTCCTTTTGTTTCAGTATACCCAAGTCAGTCCGACAGGAATACAACACAAACTAGTGGCTTGGTTCAGTAATCTTGCTAAGTGAAAGACTTCAGCAGTTACTTGTACTAGTAAAGTACACTTTTGAACTAGCTTCCTTTTCCATGAGAGTTGTAGTTTTAAGAATAGATTTTATTTGCAAGTCCAAAGACTATGAACATAGCTTATTTTTACTTTATCATAGAAGTAGGTAGACATGGTAATATGCAAGGTATGCATGTCATGTAAAATAATTATTTTATTGCTTGCATATTCATTAAATGCAATATATTTTAGATAAACTAGTACTGAAACAGCTCTTCCTTACTCCACACAGCTGAGCAGTGATTGCACAGACCAAAAAACAGTGATATGTATCTTATTTTATATAGATGTGTTTTTTGGATGAGAGAAATCATATTTTATGGCCAGCTTTAATAGCACTTGCCATGTTTAATATGACCAGACCAACTTTATAAGCATAAATACAGCTTGTTTTATATAAATGTCAGCAGTATCTGCAGACAGTGTTGTATAGTTTGGTGCTGATGTGTGTGCATGCGTTAATTTATAAAATAGAAATTTAATGTTTGTGTTGTATTAGAATTTGTACAACTTGCAATAAATTTTGTATAAAATTCTGGGGCCAATTGTGATAAAGTATTTTAAGTTGATCGTATTATTAAAAAATATATGAAACTCATATAGGTCACACAGCACTGTCATGTTAAGTACGTATGTTGTACCAGTGTGATACAGTATGTATTAACCTTTGAAGAACTATGGATATTTTTACTTTTTATTGTAATTGAAATGTTTAGGATTAAATAACAAGAATACATACAGCAATGTTTATTTTCTAATGTATTTAATTATAAAACAGTTCAGAAACATATTTATGTAAATTACACATTGAGCTTTATACAGTGTGTTTGCTGTTAATGTCCAATGGAATGATTTTTTTTTGCTATCAGTCCCTTTTTTTTTATTATTATTATTTTACAATAGTAGTACACTAAGATTCTTGAGTGAGCACCTCTGCCAATGAGCACCTCATATAGGCAGTGATTCCTTCCCACCTGATAAATGTTTATCACTTATACTGTGTAGTTTTACCATAAATTCTTTAAACAAAAAATCTGATTTCTTTCCATCATCAGAGACATTTAACATCTGAAGAGTTTTACTCTTGCAATATTAGTAGTAAATGGCAAAAAGTCAACAAATGAAAAATAAGACATAAAGCCTTTTATGTAATAATGTTAAATAATACCCAACAACAGGCAAAAATGTCATTAAATAAAAGGCTTTCTCCATTTTTTTATTCACCTATTGTAAACAATACTCTTGAATATTTTTGAAAGCATCAGACTGATTTTCATCAATACGCTATATGATTCTACTATGAGTAGTACCAATAAACTGCCAAGTTTTGACACCAGATAAACCAAAACAATAACAGTTATTAATTATTTTGTACACAACCAAATAAGCAATGGTATATGAAGTCCACAGGTAATACAAAAATTTTATATACATATTTGTATATGTATATTATATGCAGATGAGAGGAAACAGCAGGGCTAGTAAAAACTTTATCATGATTCTAAAGGGCTTCTTTTTTTTTATTTTGCAACATGTTATTAAAGTCAGTATATAATCATGAATATTCCATCACCCTGGGAAATCATAATTTACAAACTAAAATTCACAATGCTGGAATCAAATGTGTGACCAGTAGTCTTTCATTTATACATGCTACCAATTGCACCAGGGGACTGTGATTACATTACTATGTATCTGCATGGAGGGGACTATGTCCTAATGCACTTGGGGTAATGGGTGGGTGGCTATGGACTACATTACTATGCACCTGGGTGATGGAAGGGATTATAAACCATGCTGCTAAGCACCTGAGTTATGGGTGTTGGGGATTGGACTACACTATGCACCTAAGTGATAGGCAGAGACTATGAACCTGAATAATGGATGAAGGGGACTATGGACCATGTCACTACATTGGGGTAATGGGTGGAGATACATTTATGCACTTAGTGAGAGATGATGGATTATGATGAGGTGTGCAATACTATTTGGGATCCACCATAAACTAGTAAGAACAGTGAGATTTCCAATTCTAACACTTGAACCTATTCATGGTGCAGCTGGCAACTGTGGCACTACTAGTCATGCTTTTAATTCCCTCTTTACTCCTAAATGTTTTATTCACATCATTTTGAATTTTAGTTGGAAATGACAGAGGTGTCACAGTCTATGGACCATGTCACCTGGGTGACAGTGTGTGTTGGATAAAAAGGGGCTTGTGTCATCAGTTGTGGCTCATCACATACTTTGTTCCATGTATAAAAAAATATTTGCAGCAAGCAATTCCCTAACCTAAAACTTTGTTACAATGCAAGTTTGAACCTTGGGGCCATAATGTAAAATAAAACCAACTTCTGAAGCCAGCTCTATGCACATCTACCTTATCTATGCCAAATATAAGAGATGACAAAATGACTTCATATTTTTAGGCCAAATTTTCCTATAGTAAAGTACAATAATACACTTAAATACAAAGAAATGTGTTATCATAAATATTTCATAATGTATAGTCTTGTGATTATGAAACATATTTTATGAACAAGACCTCTTTATTGCAGCCTTTTTTTTTTTTTTTTTTTTTTACCCTCTGCACTGTTAAGAGTGTTTCATACTTTACACCCTGATGATTCATTCATTCATGTTGATTCGCCGGTACTTCCGGCCTGGGTCTTCTCCAGATGGTGACCTGGCAACCCTGATGATATTATAAAATTTAACCTGACAATACTGTACATTGTAAGGTTTCTTGAAATGAAAACCTACATCATATCTTACATGGACTAAATTTGAACATTTGTCATTGTTCAATGAGAAATGTCATCCTTATTCAGTTATTATTTGTGAACTAATCTAACCTCTGTTTCCTTTATTAATAATATATCCTTTCCAAATCACTTGCATTACCTGTTCATTTTTAACAGGTTTGCCTCAGTTTTTGCACTTGAGTCTGGTGGTCCTTGAGGCCATCTGAACAGGTTACACACAGACTAGGAGCATACTACAATTCCTGACACCCTGGATTCTATGGCAAGTATGGGATAAAGCCACAAGGAAGGATGTGTTTGTAAAGCTAAAGTCACTGCTGACGGACAATACTTATCAACTGAAAGAAATTTTTTCAGCATTATACTAAATAAAAATTTAAAAATGTTTCAAAATTGACTTAAAGAAAATGTCTACTTCCTTGTGGCTTATTTATTTATGTACATACTGAACATACATGCAGGTACAAACATTCAAATCCAAAAGAAATTCTCAAACTATTTTTTCATGTATTCAATATCCTATTTAAAAAAATTAAATATTTTTCATTTTATCACCAGTAGTTATTATCATATTTTGTGTGTTTTATTTAGCATAATGACAAGGAATGACTGAAGGCTCAATCCTCCATTTGCTAATCTCAAGACATGGTACCTAACTGTACTTGCCTGAGTTGCATATTGTTCAAGACTCATATTTATCATTTAAAGGAATCTAGTTTCCACCCTATGCAGTACCAACCCATCCTCAAAACATACCAAAGGTGTGTCAATTGCATGTCAATTTCTGAACCATCTAAGGAGCCTACAAAAATAAATAGTTGTAGGTTAGGTTACTTTAATTTAATGTAAATTATCTTTATACGTATATAGCCAATGATGACTAAATTACATAAATATTAAAGTAAATTCAGGCAGCAGGGCGTATTCTGTCATTTCTTGATTAACTGGAAACAGCATGCCCAATATGTACAGCATAAGGACAAAATGACAGTACAGTGCAAGCCCATCCTCCCACAGGGTATAATGAGTATGGTTCTCAACTGAGGGTAGCATCCTGCCAGAAGTTACCATCACATATATGTAATTTCATTAAAAGTACCCTTGCAGTTTAGTGCTTCTTTTGATTATAATAATAATTAATTAAATGTGGTTAACTGTGCCACCTACTTGCAGCTCTGCATAGATAATTCAGAAATAGATGTAAATGTGCAAGAAAACTGTATTTGAAGACAGAGAAAGGGAAGAGAGATGGGATAAATATTTGTATTTCAGATATAATAATGTCAACTAAAAAAACAGGATTGACACAAACATAAACAACACTGATAAAACGGTGCTAATTTCTGTGAAGTTGGCGCCTTGTTCCTCACACATTTGATTTCAGTGTCTTAACCTACACTATGATGTATTAACAATGGTGTAAGACTGGTTAGTGCTCAGTTGAAGGGTGCAGCAGTCAGGGAACCATATTAGCCCTACAACTGAAACTTATAGGCAACTCACGTAAGTCCCATAGCACATTTGTAATAACCTTAATACCAATTTTTACTATCACACACACAGGTTATTCAGGAAATCTGACCATGGATAGAATACCTAATTTTATTTAGTCTGTCAAAACTTGTTAAGTCCTGAAAAATGACTTGATATGTGTCCCAATGGTCCTGGATTTGAAGGTCTGTACTGTACTTGTATATATTTATATATGACCTCAACTATTACACTTACTATTGATACATACATATAACACAGCTGTCAAATCTCCTCCATCTTTTTTTTGTCTTCTTGTTCATAACAATACCTTTTGATGTTTGCATTTGAAAATATAAAATAATTTATGTGGAGAGTGCTACATTAAAAGACTTCATCCACAATAAATTGAATTGAGGCTTGCAATGATGCAGTACTACATGAAGGAATAACAAGAAAAATTTATTTCCACCCAAAACAATGGTTCCAACTAGGGGCATTTAGTAACATTGGTAAAGAGCCTCATTAGATTAATGATAGTAACACTTGTTCACCATCATACCAATATTACACATAATGTATTTAACCATCTCTACCCAGAGTTTTCACTTTTTTGCTTTGACTCTTTTATAACTAGTTTTCTCAAGAGTTTTCATAGCAATCCATTAAAGAGCACCATCACTGTTAACACTGTTTCATTGTTAATGGTGAGTGCATCTTGAGTTACCATGTGCAGCACTGTGTCTAACCACTTGAGCATTAACACAATTCTACCACACTTGCTTTCCTATTAAAAAAGCATAGGCAGTCCTGAACTAAATGTATTTTCAAAGCAAGTACAAATGACCTTAAAGTAAAATCTGATTAAGATCTGTTTATATTTACAACCACTCAATTCTAACTACAACCTACAAAGTGCCACTACACTGATCTACAAAATTTGATACAATATAATAAACACTTATCTTTCAATTTCCTAGCTGTATCTCGTGTCACCGGTCACAAGTTTACGTGCTGAAGTTTCCCACATTCATTTTATTTGTAATCTTCGAGGACACTCTTCCATGCCGATCACTGATTATACTGGAAAATAAGTTCTCGTGGAAATATATATACATTAAGAACTATTCAACATGGCTGTTATTTAAGAATACTGGTTTCTTACCCAAGATAACTTTTAGTTACCGTACATGGAAGTTCTAATCTTTTTATTACATGGACAATGTAGCCACTAAAAGATACAAGGGAACTTTATTTTTAAAGAATCTAGTTATTAAACTTTGGTACATATCTTAGGTTAAAATATGAATCAAATTTAAGCTTCAGCAACTTTCCACATTTAGTAATTATCTGGAGTGTTTACATAAAGGTGTGTGTGTGTGTGTGTGTGTGTGTGTGTGTGTGTGTGTGGTGTGTGTTTTGTGTGTGTGGTGTACTCCCCCTAATTGTGGTTGCAGGGGTCGAGACTCAGCTCTTGGCCCCGCCTCTTCACTGATCGCTATTAGGTCCTCTCTCTCTCTGCTTCCTGAGCTGTATCATACCTCTTCTTAAAACTAAGTATGGTTCCTGCCTCCACTACTTCACTTGCTAGGCTCTTCCACTTCCTGACAACTCTATGACTGAAGAAATACTTCCTAACGTCCCTGTGATTCGTCTGAGTCTTCCAGCTTCCAGTTGTGACCCCTTGTCCCTGTGTCCCCTCTCTGGAACATCCTATCTCTGTCCACCTTGTCTATTCCCCGCAGTATCTTGTATGTCGTTATCATGTCTCCCCTGACCTTCTGTCCTCCAGTGTCGTCAGTCCGATCTCCCTCAACCTTTTTCCTCATATGACATTCCCCTGAGCTCTGGGACTAGCCTTGTTGCAAACCTTTGTACTTTCTCTAACTTCTTGACGTGCTTGACCAGGTGTGGGTTCCAGACTGGTGCTGCAAACTCCAGGATGGGCCTAACATACACAGTGTACAGTGTCTTGAACGATTCCTTTTTAAAGGGTTTATGGGAAACGCTATTCTCAGGTTTGCCAGGCGCCCGTATGCTGCAGCAGTTATTTGGTTGATGTGTGCCTCCGGTGATGTGCTTGGTGTTAGGGTCACCCCAAGGTCTTTCTCCCTGAGTGAAGTCTGTAGTCTTTGTCCACCTAGCCTATACTCTGTCTGCGGTCTCTTTGCCCCTCCCCAATCTTCATGACTTTGCATTTGGGCTGGATTGAATTCGAGAAGCCAGTTACTGGACCACATGTCCAGCCTGTCCAGGTCTCTTTGCAGTCCTGCCTCATCCTCATCCAATTTAATTCTTTTCATCAACTTCACATCATCTGCGAATAGGGACACTTCAGAGTCTATTCCTTCCATCATGTCGTTCACATATATAAAAAATAGCACTGGTCCTACAACTGACCCCTGTGGGACCCCGCTCATCACAGGCGCCCACTGTGATACCTCTTCAAGTACCATGACTCGTTGCTGCCTCCCTGTCAGGTATTCCCTGATCCATTGCAGTGCCCTCCCTGTTATATGTGCCTGATCCTCCAGCTTCTGCACTAATCTCTTGTGGGGAACTGTGTCAAAGGCCTTCCTGCAGTCTAGGAAAATGCAATCTACCCACCCCTCTCTCTCATGTCTTACTTTTGTTACCCTGTCATAAAACTCCAGGAGGTTTGTGTGTGTGTGTGTGTGTGTGTGTGTGGTGTGTGTGTGTGTGTGTGTGTGTGTGTGTGTGTGTGTGTGCGTGCGCATGTGTGCACGCATGTGTGTGTGTGCGTGCATGGGGTGTGTGTTTGTGTGTATATGTGTGTGTGTGTGTGTGTTGTGGTGTGTGTGTGTTTTGGTGTGTGTGTGTTTTGTGTTGTGTGTGTGTGTGTGTAAGTGTGTGTGTAAGTGGGGTGTGTAAGTGTTTTGTAAGTGTGGTGTGTAAGTGTGTGTGTAAGTGTGTTTTAAGTGTTTTGGTAAGTGTGTGTGTGTGTGTGTGTGTGTGTGTGTGTGTGTGTGTGTGTGTGTGTGTGTTTTGTGTGTGTGTGTGTGTGTGTGTTTTGTGTGCGTGTGTGTGTGTGTGTGTACACTCACCTATTTGTGGTTGCAGGGGTCGAGTCATAGCTCCTGGCCCTGCTTCTTCAGTGATTGCTACATTTTAAAACTATGTATGGTTCCTGCCTCCACTACATCACTTGCCAGACTATTCCACTTCCTGACAAGTCTATGACTGAAGAAATACTTCATAACATCCCTTTGACTCATCTGAATCTTCAACTTCCAATTGTGACCCCTTGTTTCTGTGTCCCATCTCTGGAACATCATGTCTCTGTCCACCTTATCTACTCTCGCAGTATTTTGTATGTCGTTATCATGTCTCCCCTAACCCTCCAGTGTCGTCAGGCCGATTTCACTTAACCTTTCTTCGTAGGACATTCCCCTTAGTTCTGGAACTAGCCTTGTTGCAAACCTTTGCACTTTCTCTTAATTTCTTGACGTGCTTGACCAGGTGTGGGTTCCAAACTGGTGCTGCATACTCCAGTATGGGCCTGACATACACGGTGTACAGTCTTGAACGATTCCTTACTGAGGTACTGGAACGCTATTCAGGTTTGCCAGGCACCCATATGCTGCAGCAGTTATCTGTCTGATGTGTGCTTCCAGAGACGTGCTCGGTATTATACTCACCTCAAGATTTTTCTCCTTTTTTGCCCTTCCCCGATCTTCATGACTTTGCATTTAGCGGGGTTAAATTCGAGAAGCCAGTTGCTGGACCACGTGTCCAGTCTGTCCAGGTCTCTTTGTAGTCCTGCTTGATCCTCATCTGATTTAATTCTCCTCCCTGCAAACAGGGACACTTACGAGTCTATCCCTTCCATCATGTCATTCACATATACCAAAAATAGCACTGGTCCTAGGACTGACCCCTGTGGGACCCCGCTCATTACAGGCGCCCACTGTGATACCTCATGACGTACCATGACTCGTTGTTGCCTCCCTGTCAGGTATTCCCTGATCCATTGCAGTGCCCTTCCCTTTACACGTGCCTGATCCTCTAGCGTCTGCACTAATCTCTTGTGAGGAACTGTGTTGAAGGCCTTCTTGCAGTCCAAGAAAATGCAATCAACCCACCCCTCTCTCTCTCATGTCTTACTTCTGTTACCTTGTCATAAAACTCCAGAAGGTTTGTGACAGGATTTGCCTTCCATGAATCCATGCTGGTTGTCATTCATAATCTTGTTCCGTTCCAGGTGCTCCACCACTCTCCTGATAATCTTCTCCACGACTCTGCATACTATACACGTCAGTGACACTGGTCTATAGTTTAGTGCCTCGTTTCTGTCTCCTTTCTTAAAAATGGGGACTACATTTGCCATCTTCCATACCCCAGGTAGTTGCCCAGTTTCAAGGGATGTGTTGAAAATTGTGGGTACTGGCGCACACAGTGTCTCTGCTCCCTCTCTAATGACCCACGGAGAGATGTTGTCTGGTCCCATTGCCTTTGAAGTAACAAGGTCACTTAGCAGCTTCACCTCCTCCTCGGTTGTGTATATTTCATTCAACACTTGTTGGTATATACCTGGTATATTTTTGGTGTGTGTATGTTTATATTCTTACCTATATGTGGCTGCAGGGGTCGAGTCATGCTCCTGGCCCTGCCTCTTAACTGGTCAATACTAAGTCACTCTCTCCCTGCTCCATGAGCTTTACCATACCTCTTCTTAAAGCTATGTATGGAACTTGCTTCCACTACTTCACTCTCCAGATTATTCCACTTACTGACAACTCTAAGGCTAAAGAAGTACTTCCTAACATCCCTCTGACTCATCTCAGTCTTCAACTTCCAATTGCGACCCCTTGTTTCTGTGTCCCATCTCTGGAACATCCTGTGTCTATCCACCTTATCTATTCCCTGCAGTATTTTGTATGTCGTTATCATGTTTCCCCTAACCCTCCTGTCCTCCAGTGTCATCAGGCCAATTTCCCTTACCCTTTCTGTGTAGGACATTCCCCTTAGCTCTGGAACTAGCCTTGTTGCAAACCTTTGCACTTTCTCTAATTTCTTGAAGTGTGTGTATATTTTTTGTTGTGTGTGTTTTTTTTGTGCATTTTTGTTGTGTGTGTGTTTTTTGTTGTGTTTTGTGCGTGTAAATAATGTAAATGTATTTACACATATAAATATAATTATATGAATAAGACTGATAATTAAATGACTAGATATGCTAGTGGAGGAATGTGTCTTCATAAGACAGATAACAGTAGATTTCATATGAAATACTGTACTCATGTACTGAACTCAACCTGCATTACATTTTCAGTTTTAAATCTAGCTTGTGCTTAGCAAATAATATTTATAGGCATGTATGTCAAAATTTATGAAAATATATGGGTATATTATAACTGTCAACCTATTTTTCTAAATTTATAACCTATTCAGAGAAAATATAATCCTTTCACATGAAACTCGCCCATAACAGAAAAAATTAATTATAAATATTTACATGTGGCAAGACCTCAGTAACTTAGAATAATTTAATTAAGGCTTTAAAGAACATATCAAGTTAATCATGCATTTCAGAACTGGAGACAAAATTTTGATAAAAAGGAATACATACAGGTACTATATGACATGTTTCAGCTGAAGAACTCCAAATTAATATTCATGTTAAAAAATCAGAACATCTTCCTTGTTACACGGTTATTTTATGATATACCTGAATAGATTAAAATAATAAATTCAGTGTTATAATCTAACTTTAAACACTTGAGACATTATCAAGCAGTAACCAAACAATTAATAAGACTAGATGGCTTTTCGTAAATAAGAATATCTTACAGACAGCAGAAAAACACTTATCACTCTTAGCCCTTCATGAGGGTGCCTTGATGTTGAATGACTCTTGATCCAAGGAATTAGAGCAACCCTTCCCTTTTTCAAATCAAATATTCCTTACCATTCCCTTATAACTGTATGATACTTATGGTTACCATAACCATAATAATTATTCTAGCCTACCTGGAGGCTGCACACATTTTTAAGATTATTGCTCAGTAGGTACACTAGACACCACTGAACTCCGAGTTATATATCTCATACACACTTATACATGTAAATGGTGTTGTGTGTAAGGAAGAGAGTATGTATGTTAAGTATTTGGCTCCAGCTACTGATTCTGTTTAATTAACTTGTATAATATGACAGTTGTGAAGTACGCACTGGGCATGTATGTGTGTTTGAACCTCTGTATGCACTATCATTATTATGTTCAATTAGTTTCACATTTTACTTTGTATGTGCTTGTGTCATTAACTAAGTGTTTGCAATGCTTGAACTGTAGCTCCTGAGCCCCACCACTGAACCATTGTGTAATGTGATATATCCCAAAACCCTGAGTGTCTTGTTTTATTACATTTAAGTTCTTATATGGAGTTGTTGTTCCATTATTTTGTCCGTTTCACTTATTTGTTATCCTCATGCTAAAGAACCCTCATCTCTTAACATATCAGAGTTCTCATGATTATATATTCATGGGGAAAATGCAAAACCCACACGAGTCTTAACTTGTCACATGTGAAAAAATCTGATCCTCCACCAAAATTATTGGCTGTCCTTTTACCACAGATCCTGTCTCGTTGAATCAATCTTTCTAAATTACACTCCTAGTGTGAATCATAGTACAGTGGACCCCCGGTTAACGATATTTTTTCACTCCAGAAGTATGTTCAGGTGGCAGTACTGACCGAATTTGTTCCCATAAGGAATATTGTGAAGTAGATTAGTCCATTTCAGACCCCCAAACATACACGTGCAAACGCACTTACATAAATATACTTACATAATTGGTCGCATTCGGAGGTGATCGTTATGCGGGGGTCCACTGTACTGGTTTTGTTTCCGTTCATACTTGATCTTTCCAGTACACTGGACCATGAAGGCCATGGAAATATGATAACAGAGACAGTGATCATAATATCACAATGAGGGGATGTTAAACTTT